AGAGAAGTTGAAGAAATTAGCTTCTCAATTTTCGAGTCCATTTTATCATCCATTTCTCAATCAAAGGCAAGATCGAAGCCTAGCAGCTGGTTTTTGTTTCAAAGTTGATGCGACCAAAACACAGAGCATGTAAAGAGAGGTTGAGTATATTCATGAAATGGACATCTTGAAAGAAGCCTTTAGCAGCAGAAGCTAAGCAAATGCACAAGTTTTGAGCAATTGCAAACTTTGCTGGAACCCCTCAAGGCATTAGAATCAAACATCCAGGATCTCGAGGATGGATTGGAGAGGAGCATAGGTGTCTTGTCAAAAGCAGAGTCTCCCTTCTCAATATTATGAGTCAGTAGTTCTTTTTCTTAAAATCCCAGGACATTAATGCTAAACTTAGCATCTCAATGGCATTCCAGTTTTTTTGAAATGAACTGCCTTGAAATTTGTACATACCATATTGTAAATGAATACAATAATATATCTGATACACCATTGTGTTGAGAATATGTCTCAGCTGCTGATTTGGCATGATGAGGTGGCTGCTGATTTGGTCAAGGATTGCTGCATAATGATGTTTTGCTGATTTGGTGCTGAAGTTGTTAAACGTGTGTATTTTTAGATTTAGTCTTTGAAGTAGACTGGTCATGTGGCTTGTTTTTAGGAATACGTTATCTCAGTAGTGAATGTTGTTAGTGGAGTCATGTTCAATGTTTTTAGCAAGTTTGTTACGTATTTCTGTTACAAAATCCTGTATATATTTGCTGTGATTCAATAAAGATTGTGGCAGTTTGCAGTCTGTATTAAGCCTTTTTTTGCGTTATAGTTGCTCAGATTTTGTTCTTGCACAATTAAGACTACAAATTGGTATTAGAGCATTTTTCTTAAGGGATCTGTGTGACGTTTGTGAGTAGTGTTATTTACAACCAAACCAGAAAACAGAAACCTTGATTAATGGCTTCCAATGCCTTCTCTCCAGTTTCTCCACCAGTTTTCACTGGTGAAACTGCACACTATCATACATAGGCAGTTAAATGTCTCTTATTTGCAAGCTGTGGACCTCTGGGAGGCAGTCGAGGAAGACTACGAAATTGACCATTACCTGACATCCCACTATGCAGCAAATTAAGGTTCCAAGGAGAGAAGAACTAAGAAGTTCAAGGCCAAATCATGCCTCCATTCAGCAGTGTCTGAAGCATTATTTACCAAGATCATGAACTTGGAGTCAGCTTTTGAAATCTGGTAGTATCTCAAGGAGGAGTTTCAAGGCAACGCGAGAACAAGAAGTATGCAGGTGTTAAATCTCAGAAGGGATTGAGCTCCAAAAGATGAAAGAATCTGAGACTGTCAAGGAGTATGCAGACAGGCTTTGAGCACTGTTAACCGAGTGAGGCTTCTTGAGTGCAGTTTTTTGACAGAAGGATGTGCAGGAAATTCTGGTGACCTTACCTAAGAAGTTGAAGCCAAGATATCTGCTTTGGAAAGTCTAGAGATCTTGCAGAGATCTCATTGGCAGAACTTTTAAATGCTTTGCACACAAGAGCAAAGGAGACAAATTAGAGAGGAGGGTCTATTGAAGGTGCTTTACAAGCAAAGTTGCAAATCTATAAAAGTGGTAAAGACAGAAGACAAAATGAGGAAACACAAAGGTGCTGGAGCCAACAGTAGTAATGGGAATGCAGGTGCTCAAAACAACAACAGTAATGCTGGAAGGTTTCCTTCATGTCCTCACTGTGGAAGGACTAATCACTCTCAGAACAGGTGCTGGAGTAGGCCTGATGTTAAGTGCAATAGAGCAATCAAATGGGCCATGTGGAAAGAATTTGCAAGAGCAGAAGTAACCAACAGGAAGATGAGGCTAAGGCTGTGGTTATGTAACGTTGCTGTGATGGCGCTACAGAGTACAAAGATGCCGGACACACAAAGTGGGTGGAAGCCATGAAGAGAAATGAGAATGATTGAGAAAAACCATACTTGGGAGCTTGTTGATAAACTCCAGATAGGAAAATTATTGGAGTTAAATGGGTGTTTAGAACCAAATACAACTCAGATGGTTCAGTCAACAAGTATAAAGCAAGACTGTTGTTAAAAGGTATGCTCAAGTGTTTGGTGTGGACTCTCAGAGACCTTTGCACCTGTTGCAGGTTAGATACCATCAGAATGTTACTGGCATTAGCTGCACAGAGGGGTTGGAAAGTGTATCAACTGGATGTAAAGTCAGCATTCTTAAATGGTTTCTTACAGGAGGAGATTTATGTTGAGCAACCAGAGGGATTTGTGGTGAAAGTCATGAGGACAAAAGTGTATCTACTAAGGAAGGCTTTGTATGGTCTTAAGCAGGCACCAAGAGCCTGGTACAGCCGAATTAATGATCACTTGTTAAGCCTAGGCTTTGATAAGAGCCTTAGTGAAGCCACTTTGTATGTGAGAAGGTGGATTCTGACTTAATATTGTATCTGTTTATGTTGATGATTTGCTTATCACAGGAGGAAATGAAAAGCTTATTAAGACTTCAAGACAGAAATGTTCAAGGTGTTTGAAATGACTATCTGGCTTGATGTCTTATTTTCTTGGAATAGAGGTGAGCAAAGGCAAGAAGACATTTTTATTTGTCAGACTAAATATGCAAAGGAGATTCTAAAGAAGTTTCATATGGAGAGTTGCAAGGCTACAACAACTCCATGGTTCAGAAGGAGAAGTTCAGCAAGGATGATGGGTCTAACAAAGTTGATGAAGGGTTATAGATCAGCTTAATAGGCTGCCTGATCTATCTCACGCAACCAGGCCTGTATCTTATATGCTATGAGTATGCTTTCAAGATTTATGCACTGTGCTTGAAGTGCATCTTCAACAGCAAAAGAGAGTTGTCAGATATGTGAAAGGCACTGCCAACTATGGTGTTAAGTTCTCACAGTGTTCAGTCCTTGAATTTCATGGCTTCTCAGATAGTGACTGGGCAGGTTCAATGATGATATGGAGCACAACTGGATTTTGTTTCAGTTTGGTTCAGGGTGTTCTCATGGTGCTCTAAGAAGCAAGAGTTGGTTGCTCAAGTACTGCAGAAGCTGAGTTTGTGGCTGTTCAAGCAGCTGTCAATCAAGCTCTTTGGTTTAGGAAGGTGCTAATTGATCTACATATGGAGCAGAACGAAGGCCAAAGATTTTGGTTGACAACAAGCAGCAATTCAAGTAATCCCGTCTTCATGGCAGGACAAAGCATTTTAAAATCAATATATTTCCTAAGGGAAATACAAAAGGAAGGAGAAGTATGTTTGGCTTACTGCAGAACCGAAGATCAAGTGCTGATATATTTACCAGGCCTTGTCCAAAACCAGGTTTAGTTTCTAAGAGAAAAGCTAGGAATGTGCAGCATCTGATCCAAGGAGGAGTGTTGAGAATATGTCTCAGCTGCTGATTTGGCATGATAGTGTGCTGCTGATTTGGTCAGGATTGCTGCTAATGGATGTTGTCTGATTTGGTGCTGAAAGTTGTTAAACGTGTGTATTTCCAGATTTAGTCTTTGAAGTAGAGCTGGTCATGTGCTTGTTTTTAGGAATACGTTATCTTAGTAGTGAATAAGTTGTTAGTGGAGTCATGTTCAATGTTTTTAGCAAGTTTGTACGTATTTCTGTTACAAAATCCTGTAATATTTGCTGCTGATTCAATAAAGATTGTGGCTTTGCAGTCTGTATTAAGCCTTTTTTTGCGTTATAGTTGCTCAAATTTTGTTCTTGCACAATTAAGACTACACTTGATCTCATATCTCAGCTCAGTTTTAGTATTAATATTTATTTTACTTAATTTTCTTGGATATGAAGACCATCTAATTTGGAAGCTATTGAAATATGATCAAAAGTGCTGTAAAAAAGAAGATGTAGGTATGATCAATCGTTTTGAACGGTTAAGGAAGTTACACCGATGAAAACTGATGTTTAGTTATGTAATGTTGTCATGTTAAGTTACATCTTAACCGTCAAGGTAGTTTTGCTTTGAAAATCTATAAAAATGGATTGAGTGTAAAGTTGTAATATGGCACGTGTATGAGTTTTTTATGAATGAATTTATCTTTTCTCATGCATGTGTCATCTTATGAAATAGAAGCCTGAGGCTTGATTTGTTTGGCTTCCAATTTCCAAAAGAGCAAACAGAGCATGACATTGCAATTAGACAAATAAAAAAAAATAATGTAACAACTATCACAATTTCGCTTTGAGGGGTGTAGGAGGATGCATGTTACCTACCTCAGTTGAGCTAAAACAGTGGTTAGGAGCTGACCTGGAAAAGAAAAAAACTGAGTGGTTCTTATTCAATAAATTACGATATTGCATTATCATCATTTTAATACATATTAACCTTGAAATTATCACGATTCCTCATGTTCTGAGAGTTCTATAGTTTATTGTTGAGAGTATTATACTGCAATATGCATGGCTGAACGATATTGTCAAGATTCTGGTCTCATTACTGTGCGAAGCACTGCAATACCATTCGTGTGCATCTGCATTTTATTTCTTTAAAGTTACTAACTGTCATTGCTGCATATTGTTGGAAGATCCACGGCATGACAGCAATGGTGTTTATACAAATTAGAAATTTATAATTCGAAATGAGGTTAATAAAGCACTAGGCTGTCAAGGTTCTTACCTTATGCTATGATGGATCTTTTGCTGGCTACAACGGCTGAATGCGAGGAATTCAATTAAGAAATGGGATTTTGGTGTTGGTATTGATTCTGCCTGGGGGCAGGGCGACATGCTACCCGTGTGAATATATATATACCTGTTTTGATCCATATTTGATTAGTTTAAATCTCTACGATGCAATAATATCGGTGATGTCGCTGCAATTGTAGGAAGCTCCGCCACATGATTGCCAGACGAAGCCCTTACGAAATGAGACTCGTTGTCTTTCCCTGTGCCCCTATCCCTCTAATAAGTTTTAGGTTTCTGAAAACTTATCAGCTTGCCATACTTCTCTCCAAACTTGAGTTTCAGCTTTCCTGCAAAGAGGAAAATGGCCCCAAAGTTAGTTCACTACTCGTTCAACAGTTTGCCCTCAAGATCTCACCCTGTAACTTCAAATGTAGAGGAGCATTTGAACAGTTTAAAGGCTTCAGAAGCCACATCAACAGTATGCAACAATCTGAATGCTCTTGAAGATTTGTACGAGCGTGTTGATGATATGCTTCAGTTGCCGCCGTCCAACAGATTCTATCCAATTATCGCAGGACAAATGCATCGAGAATGTGTTGGTATCCCTCAGGGTGTTGGATGTGTGTACTCAGCTAAAGACATCTTGTCACAGCTGAAGGAATCTGTTCAAAATTTTGAATCATCCCTTCGAAGAAAAGAGAGAAGCCGGCCTTGCTAATGAAGTTAGAAACACAAAAACTCTAGAAAAAACATCAATAAGGTGTTGCAAGATTCTCAGAAATTTGAAGGGAACAAAAAGAAACAACTTCTTGACAAAGATTGCAATCTTCTAGCTGTTGTTGCTATAAAGAAGTTGAAGAGATTAGCTTCTCAATTTTCGAATCCGTCTTATCATCCATTTCTCAATCAAAGGCAGATCAAAGTCTAGCAGTTGGTCAATTGCTTCAAAGTTGAGGGACCGAAACGTATAGCCTGTGAAGGAGAGGTTGAGTATTGAGTGAATGGACATTGTGAATGTAGGCAAATGCACAAGTTTTGAGCAACTGCAAACTTTGCTGAAGCCCCTGGAGGCATTAGAATCAAACATCCAGGATCTTGAGGATGGATTGGAGAAGGTGTTTAGGTGTCTTGTCAAGAGCAGAGTCTCCCTCCTCAATATTCTACCAGTAGATTTCAATGGCATTCCAGTTTTTAAAAGGAATTGCCTTGGAATTTTTACAACCCTATTGCAAATGAATACAAAAAACAATACTGTACATGAATTCCAAATTAAGTGAATGCTACAATACACAAATTTCTAGCTCAATTCTTTGATCCACATATAGCTTTACTATCTTTCCTATCTGATTTTTCACATGAATTTTATATGCAGTCTGAATCTCTAGCTTAGATAATTTCTCTGAATTACCTGTGATGAACACCAAATAAACCAACTTATCCCATTAGATTCTTGATTGTTAATTGCCATGCTGCAATGATAAAATGGCAATGAAAAGTAAAACTGGAGCAATGTGTTAAATTAGGTAGTTCATTGGATGGGGATGGTTATTGTGAAATATAAAATTATCAGATTAATTATTGAAACTTGGTAAGTCATATTTTAGCATATTATATCTGTGAAGATTCAACTGCTCCCTGGGCATGAGGACACAAGGGCATGTTGGGCTTTGCGAAAAGCATGCTCCCTGATTTCTATTTAAACTATAAATATAATGGGAATTACAGCCATTTATGATGCAAATCCTCTAATATGACCACAACTGATCTGTATTCTCCATTATTGCTCAATGTAGAGAATTTGTTAAAAGTTAACAGCTGATTTCAGGAATAGGGGTGGACATTTGAAACTTTTAGTGTGCTGATGGGTCCATGCCAGAAAAGAAATTGAATGGGTCAAACAGATCATGAAACTGGGCCTCACGTAGATTTGATGATTGTTTGGACCAACAAAAACCTATGAAATCCAGCACATACCTAGCCCCATAGCATTGAAGTTAACCTAAAATTTTCGTCCTAGGATCAAAATGGTTATCCTTAAACTTGCCTTCCAAATCATGTAACCCTGACAGGATTGATTGGATTTGAGCAAAAATACTAATCTTATTTACATTACATTGATTTTGATGAAATTATATTATGACTCTCACAGTCGTTTTCACTTGACGTGCCACATTATTGTTGGGACCATCAACTTAGCCGTCCAAATTGTAAAAATAATAAACGTAGTTTGAAAATGCTCTGAGGCTGAACCTGGAAACCAATTCCTCACCATACAAATCCAACCTCTTGGTTTGATCAGTCACCATCTGTTCAGTGTTAGGCCTCCAGGGATTAAAAAAAAAAAAAAAAATCCAAACAATCAAGGCCCTTTTACCCAAAAGGAAAGAGTGAAAGGGGTAAATTACTCGGCTATGATTCTAGCATATATAAAGAAGAAGCCAAGGTTGATAGATTCTACTGACCACCCAATGTTAAACAGTAAAAAGAACCTAAAAACACAAAGCTGAAGATCCAATATAATGAATTTCCTGAGAACCCCAGTAAATGAAATTGCAAGTTGAGAGTGGACCTACTAGGCCATTGAGAATTGACAAAGGAGTAGCCGAGTAGGGACCATCGGCTGGTACAACAACACCAGAACTTTTTGAACCCTCTTCTCTAGTCTAAATCTCTAGTTGTTGCTTGGGAAAAACCAACCTAACTCTATTGTTGGATGGGGACTAGTTTCTGAATTACATTCTCTTTGTCTCAAACTTCATTTTCTATTTTATAGATATTTTTATTGGTTTTAATTTTCCTTGCTGCGGCAATTTGACGGTATCAACGCAGTCCACTCATTTGGAATCCGATGTGTGTTTTCTTTCGTTCATTGGCATGTTACATGTTTGCTCTCTCTTTTAACATCGGAAGAAGATATATGGTATTTGGCTAGATAGACAAATCGGTGGAGAAGACAGATCCACCGAAAGTATTTTGTTGTGTATGGAAATGGAATGTGATGTTCCCCCTAACAACGAACTGGCACAAATAGAGACACAACATCTCTCAGGCTCCATTCCGTTTACCAATACCTAATAATTAACAAGACTTTTTGTTGTTAGTCTTTCAAGTCAATATTCACCAGGAAGAGAAACATTTTGTTCTTCATTCACAGGTTAAACAGTGTATTTATTTTCTGTAATATCCATATACTCCAATGAAATATAGTGTTGACTTGAGAGTCAGATGAGAAGCTTGATGGAATTTCAAGGTGCATGGTTAACTTTTCTTTGATAATGTTAAAAAGTGTTTATGGATTGAATGTAGACAATAGGCAAAGCCAATATAATGTGAAGCAAATGAATTGAAGCTGAAAACTGTGATGCTTTCTTTCATCCACAGCGAGTTATTTATACACGTTTGAGATAACAAATTAGCCTAAGCTTGATGCAAAGATCAAGTGCTGTTACAGCTAAAAGATTAATCAAGCAGAATCATATCAGCAGATTGATGACTAAGTCTGCTGTAATCTGCAGTTATTCCAATTGATTCTGACCTGTTCCTTTGGCACCTAATATGTCTAAAGATGGAGCTTTGGTACCAGTAAAATTGAATCGGAGCTAATAAGGGTGTTTAAATGTAAACGTTGTCAATTTGAAATGGTGATGTGGCAAAGTTAGCGCGTAAAGGTAGAGTCGTGGATAGACAACGAGAAGAAAAATGGACAGGGAAAGAGGAAAGTGGTACCAAAATTATCGTACGGATTGAAAGGACAGTTGATATTGGTATTGGTATTGAATGTGAAAAGGCTTCCGTTTACTACGGTTTTTCATTAGACGCAAGGCCAAAACAAGAAGCAAATCAAGGCAATTAAGCCTATTGGGTGATTTACACCAATTGACCTTTCGCAGTTTATGAAGCCACCACCATTATTTCTCACCTTCTTTCAGACCACTCATCATTTCCTGTCCGTATTCTCTTGGCTCTTCAACCATTTCCCTTTGGAAAAATTAAGGTGATATCTATTTGTAAAATTCATTCAGATTCTTGATCAATGAATTTAGTTCCCATTCAAAAGGATCAAACCAATGTTTTGATGGGCCCACGTGTGAGCTTCGATTACCAAAATTTCTCATAAATCATGATGGATGTCTTAAGCAAGAGAGAGCAGGAGCAGCAGGCATGCCAGGAAGAATATTAAAAAGCTGCATGCTTGTTTGTGGATAGAATTTCAATTTTTTTCTTTTCAATCATAAATTACAAGAGAGTTAATAACAACCTTCTTCTTTCAATTGAATTCCCCCTTCCTTTCTACATCAATATTTACAAAATTGAAAAGGAGAAACCTTAGTTAGATTCCTTCAAGAATACTATCCAAAAGCCTAGAGATATATAATAAACAAACGCACAGAGAGAGAGAGCTGAATTTTGTTCTCGTCCCAATTAATTAACGAGCAATCTCTGTCTTCAAAGATGTATTGAGCTCTACTTGCTCAGCCTCCCACTTGGCCTTGGCAACAACTCCATCGTGCATAGGTATGTAATCCTAATCAAATTAACAAAAGATAGTGAAGCCAAAATTAATTAAACACGATTCACCATGTACAAAACGATCATTAAATAACAAAAGCACAGCATTAAAATTCCAGAGAAGAAGAACCCACTTCAAGCTTTTGGACAAGCTCTTTCGCATTTGGAGCAGAGACGATTATGCTTCTCTGAGAAGGACTAATGAAGCCATCATCAACAGCTTTGTCGATGAAGGTTAAAAGAGAGTTGTAGTAACCATCTACATTAATCAAACCCACCTGTACCATGCAAATTTATTGTCTAGAATTAGACAAAAAAAAAAAAAAAACAATGAAATCGGGAAAAAATTTCAAACTTTAGCGAGAAAGATTGATTAGACGTGAATCGCTTTACAGGTTTGTCGTGGATTCCAAGCTGGGCCCATGTGATGACTTCTAATAACTCTTCAAGAGTTCCATATCCACCTGATTATAGTAAACACATTATTAGTAAGTAATTGTCAAAACTCAAAACATGATTAATTAATTAGAGCATCATCTTGGGAGAGAGACCTGGTAAGGCAATAAAACAGTCAGAATGGCGGGCCATCTCGGCTTTTCTTTGGTGCATGTCAGCTACTGGCTTCACCTCTCCCACTGTTTCTCCAGTTATCTGCAAGTACAAAGCAAGTCATATATCATAATTTAATTCGCTGTAGCACAAATTAGGGGACTTCAACTTCTTAATTAACTGAAGAGAGAACGACCCAGATGAGCTTGTTGTATTTATATACCTCCTTGCTCATCAGAGTTTTCGGGATGATTCTGTAAATAAATCAAGAAACCAAACCGAACTTATTATTATATATTTCAACTATATAATCTGTTTCAAATCAGAAAACTACCATGATTAATTCTTGAGAAGTTTTCTTACCCTAAAACACGCCCACCACCACGATGGACCTCTTGAGAAATCAAACCCATCAAGCCAACACTTCCTCCTCCATAAACAAGATCCAACTTCCTAGAGACCTTCACAGACAAACTGAGTTTTTAGACCAAGAAAAAGCAGAATCTAATAATTAAAGAACTCTGTTAGCTCCAAGCTTACAAATCAAATACCAAAAGAAATGAATTGAAAATAATAATAATAAATAAGCACCAGTTCTTGGCCAAGCTCAAGGGCAGCATCACGATAACAATTTCTCTTGCCAGTACTGCTTCCACAGAAAACACAAACCCTTTGGAACCTTGACTTAACTGCTCCTTTGTTCTCCTCCATCTGTCTCTTCTTTGTCCCTTTTTCTCTCTGTATTTGTTACTGTTTGTTAACTTCAATGTGAATGGTTTGAGCTTTTGAGCAGAAATATTTCTTCAAAAGAAGATTGCTTGACACAAATAGAGTAACATAGAACGATACCATATATAGGAGTAGTAGCAGTGATAATTTGGTCACCCCTGGAATCCTGTAATCCCACGTGGACTTTATAAACCAGAAGAATTTTTTTTCGCTTTACCAAATTCACCGACAGGATTCTTCCTCCTCCACGATTGCGTAATCTCAGTCTTCACTTATCCACTAGTTTCTCTCCACCTCGCACTCTGTTTCACCACTTCAGGTAAACGAAATAAACGAATTAAACTAAAGAGGAAAGGATCACCTTTAAGAATAATTAATTTATCGAGCCATTTTGTACTTGAAACAAGATGATCTTAATCAGACTTTTTAATCATAGTAATAAAATCAAACCTTGAAATATATGTGGGTCGATATACGATATAACTATTACTGGCTTTGAATAAATTGCTGTAAACGATTATAACCAGTACAACTGTGGCCATTATCAGAAACATTTAAACTGCTTTAAGTACTACGTGAGACACAGATTAAATGACAGTTTTTAGTGCTTGTTTTGGAAGATCCTGTACTTATAGTTCTTACAATATTGTCACGACTCTGTATTTGTTCCTGTTAGCTCAAATCCAGTACTCCGATTTAGCCAAAACTTGAATGAGCAACTCAAGAAATTTGATATAGACTTCGTAATTAAACAGCTTGGGAGTAACTTTTAAAAGGACAGAAATCATGGTTGGTAAATTATGTGATAACTTTTTTCCACTGGACCAAGCACTTAGCCAACTGGATATAGTTGGCTGTATCTTGTAGTTTCGATAGGTGGCTGCGTTTAAATGTTGGTAGTGGTAGGCGTTGAGGGACATACTTTATCTTCAGATTTTCAATGCTCGTTTTACTTTTTGTGATTGGCAAAGTCCAACAATCCAGTAAAATACAACACCACACGTGCAACAGATAAGGTGCACTAAAGGGGTTCGTGCTTAAACATTTGACTCAGAATCAGAATATACTGTTTTGTTCCTTATTTATATACTTGTATAATGTATATATATTTCTGAGGCTGGGAAATAATTCCTACACCAGAAACAGTAATATCCCAGAGTTGTATAGTCTGACGACGCAAACTTTAGGGATTTATCTCAACGTTTACATTTACATATTATGAGCCTGCTGCGTTGTGTGATATTCATTGGAAAAACTACAGCAATTTCTTAGTAAGAAAGAAGAAAGAATAGTATTCCATTTTGAACAGTTGAAGAAACGAGAAAAGTTTGACGATTTCTGTTTCTTAAATTAATTACAAATTGATTGACAATACAAGTCGGTTTATTCTCTTCATTCTTTTCAACGTTTTGGGATTGAACGTAAGAAACCCTTTGGACCCACGTCGCATTTTCTTCGTTAGTTTCAACGTAAATCCAGAATTTCCATCCTGAACATGAAGTCATTAACACGTTCAGAAGAAAGAATGAAAAAGTATCTGTATTCTTTGAATCCTCCCTCTCCTTGTAACCATCCTTAGTCAAAAGAAAATAAATTATCTGAAAATTACCATAACAATTCCTTTTACTAAGAGTTTCCTTCCATGGTCCTTATAAGTGGGTTTAACGTATACATCTTTTCCACGAAAATACTTGGAAAGAAAACGACCTCTTGTTGAATCCATTATTCCTCGATTAAACCCGCGTGGCGTGGCTGGTAAAGTTTTGGAGGGTTTTATGGGACCCTTTACACCTTACTTTCTTTCTCTATTTCACATTGGATTAACACAGTTCATTCATTTTAAATCAAGGTTTACTTGTATCAGTACACAAGTTAATACAAGTTTATCCAGACTATGAAGTCTGAAATTGAACGGTTCCTCTCTCTATCAAGAAAAAGGGAAATACACTAACATTTTGGTTGGTCGTTTTAAACTAAGCGATGGTTCATAATTAGTGACAACTCATAACCAAAAGCAGAATAGATTAAAGTAAGAAGGATCCTCTTTGTCTATATCAGGCAACAACCGTCTTTGGTAGGCTGTCATTTTATATACAGGTCCTGAACTCCCGATTAATTTAAATGCGATTCTAAATTTAAAGTAGAGTGAACTTGGACTTTTAAGGGATGCATTTCAGTTTCAAAGTCCAAAGTAGCAATGCCTCTTTTTTTTGTGTGCTGAGGAGGCTGACATTCACTTTTATCCCCATGCAATTTCCTGGTCAATTCATATAATTTGGAGCACAGCTAGGCTAACTACAATGTGAAAAGGGCTTCAGGAATGTTCGGGTATGCAATTGTCGGCTCCCTCACCATATCTAAATCTCATGTTATCAAATACCACAAGTTGCATAATTTCCTACTCCCTTTTGATTTAATTAGTTAAAAGGCCACCGTAAAGCAAAGATCAAAAGCCATTCTTCGAATAAGAATTTCAAAAATGTCTTTTGCTTTATTACGTTATTCCCTAACGCAAAAGCCCATAATCAATTCGTTGAACACCTTCCTAAGTTGAATTAATCAGAGGTTCAAACCTAAGACAAAAGTTAGTTGAACTGCCCTCGCCGAAATTACTACACCTTTATAACTTGAGTAAGACATATTTCCACCCAAAGTTTGGAGAAATCCCAAGTTGGTATCCCTGGTTGTATTTATTTTAGATTCCTACCTTTAAAGTATACTGTTAACAATTTTTAGATTACAGAGGGTGCTATTACCATAATACCCTTAACAAATAAATTAATAAATTTCTTATTAACCCCTAAATTAGTAGAATTAGAAAATTAATCATCTTATTTTCAAATTACTTCAATAACAACCTTGGCAACTGTGGACCCTCTCAGTTTTTGCCCAATTTGGGCTGTTTTCGACGACGCTGAACCCCCTGGTCACCTCCATCACCTTCCCCATAGTCTGTCATCCAAAACCCCTTTGGTTCTTGACTCATTGGCCCCTCTGATCGACGGCGCCGTTAGGTTTAGGGTCTCATTGTTCTTCTCCAGATTCTGGCGGCAAAAATCCAATTGGAAACCACCACTGCAACAAGCGTCTCCAACTCTACAAAACCCCTATGTCCCCAGCAATCGTTTAGTCGTTGTTCGCTAGCCGAGAGGTTCGTGTTCATTGCATTTTTTGGAGTTGTTGTGGCTGGCAAACGGTGAGCTGTCGTGGTCAGGAAGGTTAGGGGTTTTGTAGGGGGGATGTGAGGAGTCAAATAGTGGTGGTGGTAGGGCTTTTTGCCACTCAAAACATCCAAAAACTGACAAAAAATAGTTGCACAACGCGGCTGCCGTGGCTAGCGATCGATATGTGATGAGGGGTTGTGAAGGGTAAGGTTTTGTAGAGGGGAGGATGAAAGTTCAAATGGTGGTGGAAAGGGTGATTTTGGGTGGAAGAATCGTCAGAAAAGGGCAAAAATCGTTGGGCTTGTCGTTTGCTAATGTGCACCGAAGCACTATTAGAGGTGGCGATCTGCTGACGTGCCCTGCCTTCCGCAAAATGACCAACTTACCCTTTTACTGTTATATTAAACAATTTTTTTATTATTTTAAGGGTTAGAATCTGGAATAAATGCAATCAGGGTATCAATTTGGGATTTCGCCTAAGCCTCAAGTGAGAATATGTCATTTAGTCTTATAACTTTATGTGTTAATTTGCATGGGCAATGCTTGAAACAATTTCTATTTCCCACTTCCCTCAGCCTATCAGGCCCAAATCCAATGCCCCTTTTTTCGAACTTGCAGTTATGCATTGCTCCTTACCCCCTTTCAATTGAAGCAACCATGTTTGATTATCCAAAAGTCAGCACGCTTCATTATCTTGGAACCTTCACAAAAATTTCTTGGAAGTGCCTGGCCGGAACAGTGGATCTTAGTCTCATATTCTTTGTCATATTCAAGGACAACAAAATCATGTACAGTTGTTTATTAATTCAGAAATTGCCTGATTTTCTTGCAGCTTGTTGCAACAGCTTGTTTAATTTATACGGATTAGATACACAGGCTGGCAGCCTGCTCTCGTGCATGCATACGATTCCATATTAGTCTATTTCACAACAACGATATCTGAACAAATTTGTCGTATAGAAGGTTCCTCAAGACAAGTGTACGAATTAATTTAGTCCCTTAGCTGTTTCCAATAAGCCAAATACCGTACTAGGAAGGATACCTCATGGTACATTTCCTCAAGATCTGAGATCTAATACGGGATAAGTTGTCTCTTCATGGTTTCCCCATAAAACCAATATCAGAAAACTAGCTTCTATTGCTCATTATCCTCAATATCCATCCCTTGTGTAATTTTCTATATACAAACGAACTCCATTCTTGCTTCGATTCTTAACTTGTTTCAAAATGGCACCCCTAAATTTCAATGCTCTCAGAGACTTGCACAACTCAGCTAATGACCTTCTTCACTCACCAGTGATCCAAAAAGCTCTTGTCCACCACCGACAAGAGAAATGGGTTAATGAAGTCTCAGAAGCATCGCTGAGAATGCTGGAAGTGTGTGGCATATCCAAAGACGTTCTTTTGCTTGTCAAAGAGCATCTTCAAGACCTACAATCTACTTTGCGCAGAGTGATTATTGGCGAGTCAGATATTAGTGCCAAAATTGCAGCTTACAATCGCTATAGAAAGAAGTTGAAGAAACAGACATTGAAGTGCTTGCACTCACTAAAAGGGATGACGAACAAATCAATCACATCAGATATATATTCTGTAGACTCCAAGCTTATGGTAGTTGTGGATGTGTTAAAAGAAGTAAGAGTAATAACAATCTCTATAGTGGAGTCACTCTTATCTCTTATATCTATACCGTGGCTCGTCAGAAAATCGGCTAAAGGGTCTTTCACGTCAAAGTTTATGCCGTCAAGTGGACAAAGTTTATACGATATCTGGGACGAAGAAGAAGTTCAAAGTGCAAACAAAAGAATGGAGGGAGTGGAGATTGCCATTGAAGTTCTTGAGGTTGAGTTGGAGTGCATCTCGAGGCGTTTGATTCAAACTAGGGTTTCACTTCTCAACATACTTACCAACTAAGAGAGGCTATAGAATCCACGGTTGGCAATTGGCAAACCATTATTTAAGAGCTTTGCCATGCCCTAGCTCGCCACTCACACGCAGCACATAATGGATACACTGATCAATATTAATTTCTTTCTGATATAAATCAATCTGTATTACTGTATGTTACACTGATTATTTTAACTTATATATTGCATTGTTTCATTCTTTACATTAAAGTGTTCATTTCTGATCATATCATTAGGTTAATTAACGTGACACCTGAGGTCATGATCATTGTATCAATAAGAATCCTTGTGATTGACTCTTCATACTAGACTGGCTTTATCGATAATTATAAGTTCTGATCGAACTTAATTCATCAACTTGATGTTGTATATGAAAACTGTGAAAATAAATTGCCAATGTTGATATAATTATATGTTATGAGGTAAATCCATAAGCATGGATTCACGCCATGTATTCTAAGGTTGTGCTGTCATTCAGATCACGTGTCACTCCACTCTATGAGAGAGTTGTTTCATTTATAATTCTTTTAAGGATTATTTCATTGATAAGTCTTAAGGTTGTGTTGCCATTCAGGTCACGTGTCATTCTATGTGAAGATTACTTCATGTGCAAGTCCACCCAATGTAATAGTATATAAACCGATCTCTCACTCAATAGGAATCTTTTTGAGACCCTTTTTCCTACTATTCAAAACCGTCCCATATGTCTTAAGAGCTAAGCTCGTTTGTATGTGAAAAATACACAAGAAAAGTAAAAAAATAACAGTGGACTAAGATTACATTTTGTATCCGAACCACTTTAAAAACCTTACATTCTTTGTGTGTGCTTTTTATCTTCACATTAATCCAGCATTAAAATACCAATTTACTACAAACCCTTGTGTAAGTTTCATTACGTACTTCTCCTAAATGTAAAAACTGCATCAACAGTATGCTTAACTGTTGTAAGTTTCATTACGTACTTCTTCTAAATGTAAAAACTGCATCAACAGTATGCTTAACTGTTCTTCATCTAGAAGCTATTTAGTCTTGTAAGAAGAATGATTGCACTCTCCAGTCTGGCTAGAGAAGAAGTGTCTCTCCAAATGCAATTCAAGTTGGACCCGTAATAAAATTCCAAAAGTCAATGCGCATAATTCTGAATTTTGAGCATGCGCATACAGATGTCATATCTATATTTGTTTGTCCTTGGCTTAATTATTTAGACTACACGATTGTATGCTTCTCGTCCAGTCATGGTGCCAAGCCAAATACAACCTTGCAGAGGAGTTGGAGAGATCCCCTGTCGAATCGTGCAAATTTTTCTAAGTAAAATATTAGTATGTCAAGACAAAGTTGTTCCACCGACAAACAAATTGTCTTCTGTTTACGAGCATCTCTTCCACTTGTTAATATAACAATCTAAACTTTGTTTAATTGAGAGATGACATAATTAGACAATCTAAATCTTGTTTAGTTCAGCATTTTGCAATAATCAACTGCACGTGTACAACACACGGATGGGTGATATACAAATTTGTCTCCCAGCAGCTTATTGTTCCAATGCGATTTGTTATCTTAACATAATTTGCAAATCTTTCTTCCTTTCTTGTAAGCAAAACAGCTAATTGTTAAGGGTTTGCAATTGCTTCCTCTTCCAGCGATCGGAGCTCGATGAGAGAAATCAAGGGACCTGGCTTTGAGTGGGAATCAAGAGTGTTGTGGCAGTGGCACCGCTTGGGCATCAAAATTATAAGACTCTGATTGATCTTGAGTTAGAACTAATTATAAGGTTCTGAATGGAAGATTGTCCAGGTAATACAACAGCAATGTCAGCAAAGATGTCCAAAGACAAAGAAACCATTTTTTTTTTTCAAAAAAAAAATGGAAGTTTGTTCATGAAGGATGGTGATATTATTGCATGCAGCGTTCAGTTTCTTTTTACCAAACTACAAGAGGAAGGTCCACACTCATGCCTTAGGAAAAGGGAGATTTCGTGTCAATTAGGCTACTGCATGATTAGGACTGTCAGACGAGCCGAGCAGCTTGCGAGCCAACTCGACTTGGCTCAAGCTCGCTATATAAAACGAGCCGAGTTCGAACATGGGGAGACTCGGCTCATAGGCTCGCGAGTCTGATGTGGCTCAACTAAGCAAGGTTCCATTTGTTATATTTTATAAATAATGGGGACTGAAGTATTATCTATATTCTTTAGTTTTAAAAATTTGTAAAAAAGACATTTAATCCCTCGATGTAATTTGTTCTAAAAGACTAAAACACAAAATTAAACCTCCAAATCAGATATACCAAATCGACAAAACCTAACCCCTAAATTTGTTCTTGCAAATATTCATGATAAAAAATAAAAATAAAAATCAACATAATGGTTGTGTTTTGGAAGAAGACGAAAACGAAGATGAAGATGATGGAGATGGAATTAGCGTAAGTCTATGTAACTCGTGATGCTCTGCAAGATGAAGATGAGATAGGGACGAAGATGAAGATGAAGATGAAAACAAAGATGAAGATGAAGATGAGACGAAGATGAAGATGAAGATGAAGATGAAGTTGAAGATGATGGAGATAAAGACGAAGAAAAGGATGATGATGAAGAAGAAGACGAAGATGAAGATGAAGATGAAGATGAGATGAAGACGAAGACGAAGATGAAGATGAAAACAAAGATGAAGATGAAGATGAGATGAAGATGAAGATGAAGATGATGGAGATAAAGACAAAGAAAGGATGAATATGAAGATGATGGAGATAAAGATATGCAAATGATGCAAATGATGGAGATAAAGATGCAGATGATGAAGATGAAGTCGAGTGGACTTGAACTCGACTCGAACTCGAGTTTCTCTGACTCGAGCTCGATCTTGTAGCAAACAAGCCGAGCTCGATAAGTCAAAAACTCGACTCAGCTTGTTTTCCTATGCGTGATAGTAAAACAAGAAAAAAAAATCTGAGAAAACATAGTACTCAATTCACCTCACACACAGGGTTTCACCTAACTGTCCAAAGTAATCCCATCCACTAGTTGACTGGATAGTCTTATTTTATGATCTTGTTCTTCAAAACACAGATAACATTATGTTATTTAAATTTGAAAACAATGAAGATAAAGCAGAAAATAGGGTGGTTGGAGTTAATTACTCTCATATATAGATCTGCGCAAAACATAGATAAAAGACAGAATACTGACAATGAAACAATATAAAAGAATGCTGATAATGCAATTCGGGCTTCATTCAAATCCATCATAACGTCACAAAGGATAGAAGCACACATGTGCACATATAAATGTGAACTGTAAAAAAGATCCCTCTTACAAACTAACATGTTAACATGAAATTTGTTTGGCATTACACCCATCACGACCAGTTTATTGAGTGAAAAGAAACAAGAAGGATATTCCAGATGACCTTCGTACTGTGGATCCACTAAAGAACCTTTATGGATTCTCCCTTTGGCTTTTCAATTGGATTCCTACAATCAATAGGATGTAAGCATATTTTCTGATTTCATCCCACATACAAATGCTATAAAAAGGAAAAACCCAAAAAAAAAAAAACTTTAAAAGAAGATTATATTGAAGCACTTTTCTTTCAATTCAACATCCAATACAATCGCTGGCCATCAAATCAAAGGCAGTGATATGAGATGGGTAAACATTGACAAAGAATTCAGACAGGAACTTCACTCTCTAATCAAGCAAAAAAATTCAGCAGGATGTGATAACATAAATAAATGACTTGATAACAACTGCCACTTGTTGAGAAGAACAAAAAGGCCATACTACTGAACCATGAAACTATGAAATGACTACTAATACACTTCAATTGCCAGCCAACTCTCAGAGGTGGTCATCACAGCCCCCACCTCCCAAACTTCTCTTTTTCCTAAAAGAAAAGAAAAGAAGAAAGAACCTGCAGCAAAAAATCAATCCTAGGTCTCATGTTCATATCTAAAGCCAACAGAACAAATATGTAATAGCTTTTAATTTAATGATAATATAACATAATATCGAGCCTATTATGCCTTCATACCTAATATTTGACAGAAACATACACTGTAATGTCTACCTTTAACCCTTTTTCCTCGAAAATGAGTGAGGCCAAAAGTTTAGTCCTTATCATCAAGAATGATACCCCAGGAGGATAACCAAAATATAGTTCATACTCTAATCATAAAGCTCCATAAAACCTGGAATTATAGTTCATTCTTTCTTTTCTTTTTTTTTTTAAAAAAAAAAATTGCTAATAAGCAACTAAAGCAGCAAGAATGCACCTTGACAATCCCCATAAATATCCCAAAATGCAATTGATTTAATTCACAATTTCATAATTAGCTAAATAATTCATAACAATCAATCATCAAATCATAAGACAAAATTACCTAATGATCATGTCCATGACCATGGTCATCATGGCCCTCCCAAGGATGTCGCCAACCCTAAGAAAACAGAATAAAAAAAATGAGATACTATCACCTTAACAGGCTCAATCACAGGAAAGCTGAAACAGAATTGAGTCTTACCAAAACTACAGGACCATCTTGCTTAGCCCTGTAGAGAACCCAAAACCTGAAATATCAAACATCAACAAACTTAATGAGGTTAAAGAGCAGTTAAATTATCCTTTTTTCTAGATATCGCTTTACCAAAACCACCGAAAAGATACTAATAGGGTCATTTACAGTCATTTCCAAACAAAACTATCGTATTTAACTTCAACATAAAGATACAAAAACATAAATTCATTCAATAATCAAAACGAAAGATCTCAAGCAGATAAATTGAAAATATAGTCCAATAATAGAGTTGCACAATGTAATATGAAACAAAAATATATAAAATAAAAGCATTCAGATCGGATCATAACTAAGAATCTGACACTAAGCAACAAGATAAATCGGATTCAAGAGTTCTTTTAGAGCAAATTAAACCAAACAAATAGAAATAAGATTAGGTTCTAATAAAATTAAACGAAAAGAAGAAGCCAAGGAGATACCACATGACGGCGCACAAGCCCTTGCCGGTAAGGGTGTGCCATCGCTTAGGCTTATGCAAGGTCACGCCCTTGTATGTGACGCTCTCGCCATGGTCTCCTCCTCCCATCTTTCTCTTTCTCTCTGCAAGCCCTAAATCGAATCGACTAGTGAAAATGGTCCAAGCTACAACGACTATTTGGCTTGGCTGTGCTTAGTTCAACCGGTAATGCAGATTTCACAATATGAGCCGTTGGATTTGTATACATTGACCTCATTAAAATCATATTTCCTGGACCCGCCGCACGAGATCAGTATTGCAAGTCCCTCTTTTGGGCCACATGCTCGGTTTTGTTTATGGGCTTATGCATTGGATTAGATTCGGGCCTATCACTCTATTGTTTTCATCATACGTGGATTTTGCTTTAAGTAGAACTGGGCTAATGTATACACGTGTTAATATCACACTTTTACTAGAATTCGCAATAATTTCGTTTTACACGTGCAGGCAATAATGCGTACTTCATCATCTGCAAATTGAAAAAAAAAAAATCTACCGTCAAAGTAGTGTAATTTGCACGTGCAGAAATAGCTTTATTTAACTGAAAAAAAAAAAAAAAAAATCATTTTCATCGACTGACTCTGAGTTACAACTGACACTCTCATGGTCCATGGAAGAGTATCGAACGGCTGCGATTAATCAGTGAAACGACTCTTACCAGTTACCACGAAACACGGTTCGCTGCACGCCAACAAAGGCCAAAACTAAGCAGTCAAAGGTTTGAGTCTAGGTACATCTGATCTGATGCAAGAGGCATTATAAACACACTCAAGATCAGACCACAGAGAGAGAAATAGATCATGGCTCAAGTTAGCAGCAAAAATGTCGATCCAAGAAGTGGATTCTGCAAATCAAACTCCATTTTCTACAGCAAACGCAAGCCGATCCCACTTCCACAGAACCATTCACTTGACGTTACAGCATACATCTCTTCCAGGCCACACAATGGCAAGACCGCTTTCATCGACGCAACCACAGGCCGCCAAATCACCTTCTCCGAGCTCTGGCGGGCGGTTGATTCAGTTGCCACTTGTCTCTCCGACATGGGAATTCGAAAAGGTCACGTTATCCTCCTTCTCTCCCCTAACTCAATTTTCTTCCCCGTTGTCTGCCTCGCTGTGATGTCTCTCGGTGCCATTATCACAACCACAAATCCTCTCAACACTCCTAGAGAAATCGCCAAGCAAATTGCCGATTCAAAACCTGTACTTGCTTTCACTATCAAAGAACTCATCCCGAAACTCGCTGGTTCGTCCCTCCCAATCGTACTCCTCGATGATCCACAAAACATCACTCCTGAAGCAAAAATTTTAACTACTTTACAAGAAATGATGAATAAGGAACCAAATGGAAGCCGAGTTAGAGACCGAGTCAACCAAGATGACACAGCTACTCTCCTCTATTCGTCTGGTACAACCGGTGCTAGTAAGGGTGTGGTATCGTCCCATCGTAATCTCATAGCGATGATACAAACCATTGTGGAGCGATTCAATTTAGAAGAAGCACAAGAAACGTTCATCTGTACGGTTCCAATGTTTCACATCTATGGCCTAGCAGCGTTTGCTATGGGCCTACTCGCATCAGGATCAACGATCGTGGTTCTGTCCAAGTTCGATATGCACGAGATGCTATCGTCGATTTCAAAATACCGCGCAACGAACTTGCCTCTCGTGCCACCAATACTCGTAGCTATGATAAACGGCGCGGATCAGTTAAAGTCAAAGTATGACTTGAGTTCGTTGCACTCTGTTTTGTCTGGTGGGGCTCCACTGAGTAAAGAAGTGATAGAAGGGTTCTTACAGAAGTATCCAACGGTGAAGATTCTTCAGGGGTATGGTTTGACCGAGTCGACCGGTATTGGGGCGTCAACGGATTCGTTAGAGGAGAGTAGAAGGTATGGTACGGCGGGGATGTTGTCGCCGAGCATGGAGGCGAAGATTGTGGACCCGGATAGTGGTGAGGCTTTACCGGTGAACAGAACGGGTGAGCTTTGGCTTAGGGGCCCCTCCATCATGAAAGGTAGCACTACACCATCTACTTCTGTTGATATTTTCATATCTAAATGGATCCAAAAAGAAACGGGAAGGGGTTATTTTTCTTTTTCACTTAAGCAGGGAAAAACATATATGATTAATTGATATTAAGGTCTTCATAGGAATTCAATTTAAGTACTCATCCATTGTTATTCTATTAAACGTTGGTTGCTATTGCAAGCATTCATATTTAATTGTTTTCCAGTATAGTCTATTGATCCCAGTAGCANAAAAAAAAAAAAAAATCATTTTCATCGACTGACTCTGAGTTACAACTGACACTCTCATGGTCCATGGAAGAGTATCGAACGGCTGCGATTAATCAGTGAAACGACTCATACCAGTTCCCACGAAACACGATTCGCTGCACGCCAACAAAGGCCAAAACTAAGCAGTCAAAGGTTTGAATCTAGGTACATCTGATCTGATGCAAGAGGCATTGTAAACACACTCAAGATCAGACCACAGAGAGAGAAATAGATCATGGCTCAAGTTAGCAGCAAAAATGTCGATCCAAGAAGTGGATTCTGCAAATCAAACTCCATTTTCTACAGCAAACGCAAGCCGATCCCACTTCCACAGAACCATTCACTTGACGTTACAGCATACATCTCTTCCAGGCCACACCATGGCAAGACCGCTTTCATCGACGCAACCACAGGCCGCCAAATCACCTTCTCCGAGCTCTGGCGGGCGGTTGATTCAGTTGCCACTTGTCTCTCCGACATGGGAATTCGAAAAGGTCACGTTATCCTCCTTCTCTCCCCTAACTCAATTTTCTTCCCCGTTGTCTGCCTCGCTGTGATGTCTCTCGGTGCCATTATCACAACCACAAATCCTCTCAACACTCCTAGAGAAATCGCCAAGCAAATTGCCGATTCAAAACCTGTACTTGCTTTCACTATCAAAGAACTCATCCCGAAACTCGCTGGTTCGTCCCTCCCAATCGTACTCCTCGATGATCCACAAAACATCACTCCTGAAGCAAAAATTTTAACTACTTTACAAGAAATGATGAATAAGGAACCAAATGGAAGCCGAGTTAGAGACCGAGTCAACCAAGATGACACAGCTACTCTCCTCTATTCGTCTGGTACAACCGGTGCTAGTAAGGGTGTGGTATCGTCCCATCGTAATCTCATAGCGATGATACAAACCATTGTGGAGCGATTCAATTTAGAAGAAGCACAAGAAACGTTCATCTGTACGGTTCCAATGTTTCACATCTATGGCCTAGCAGCGTTTGCTATGGGCCTACTCGCATCAGGATCAACGATCGTGGTTCTGTCCAAGTTCGATATGCACGAGATGCTATCGTCGATTTCAAAATACCGCGCAACGAACTTGCCTCTCGTGCCACCAATACTCGTAGCTATGATAAACGGCGCGGATCAGTTAAAGTCAAAGTATGACTTGAGTTCGTTGCACTCTGTTTTGTCTGGTGGGGCTCCACTGAGTAAAGAAGTGATAGAAGGGTTCTTACAGAAGTATCCAACGGTGAAGATTCTTCAGGGGTATGGTTTGACCGAGTCGACCGGTATTGGGGCGTCAACGGATTCGTTAGAGGAGAGTAGAAGGTATGGTACGGCGGGGATGTTGTCGCCGAGCATGGAGGCGAAGATTGTGGACCCGGATAGTTGTGAGGCTTTACCGGTGAACAGAACGGGTGAGCTTTGGCTTAGGGGCCCCTCCATCATGAAAGGTAGCACTACACCATCTACTTATGTTGATATTTTCATATCTAAATGGATCCAAAAAGAAACGGGAAGGGGTTATTTTTCTTTTTCACTTGAGCAGGGAAAAACATATATGATTAATTGATATTAAGGTCTTCTTAGGAATTCAATGTAAGTACTCACCCACTGTTATTCTATTAAGCGTTGGTTGCTATTGCAAGCATTCATATTTAATTGTTTTCCAGTATAGTCTATTGATCCCAGTAACATTATGATGATCACTGAACTATACTTTTTTGCTGAATGATCTTGTATTTAAAATCATGTCAAATAATCCATTTTTGAGTTCCTATTCCAGGCTAATTGTGTAATTCATGGCTATAGAAATGGTACAATTCTTGTCTATTTAATGCATTTCTGCTGATGAACAATACCTTGTGCGATTCTTGCAGGTTATTTTAGTAATGAAGAAGCTACTGCATCCACCCTTGATTCCGAAGGATGGTTGAGAACTGGCGATCTATGCTACATTGATGAGGATGGCTTCATTTTTGTCGTTGATCGACTGAAGGAGCTGATTAAATACAAGGGATATCAGGTGAACAGAACATTGATTATTTTAAGTTCAGTTCTTTCAATCTGGCCTTTTTTTTCAAACTCTTTTTCTCTTTTTATCATTTGTAGTAAGGATGAGACCGTCATTTTAATTTTGTATGCAAGAATCTATTAACATTTTTATTCAAATTAAAAAGTTACTGGTATTGAACATGCTCTAATGGCTATTGACTCTCAATGTGGCAGGTCCCTCCGGCAGAATTAGAAGCCTTGTTACTTACTCATCCAGAAATATCTGATACTGCAGTTATACCGTACGTGTTCCTCTACATTGATTTATATGAGTTTTATTAACTTGCTTTCTCGCATCATAACTCATAAGAGCTCATCGGTAATTAACCTTATTCTGATGGAGCCTTTTGTGTCTTTTTTAAATGAAACGGAAGCATCAGTTTGATTGATATATGTTGTATTTCAGATTTCCGGACAAGGAGGTTGGGCAATATCCCATGGCATACATTGTAAGAAAAGCTGGAAGTGATTTATCAGCGACTGCAGTCATGGATTTTGTAGCAAGCCAGGTTTGCGAAATTTACTAATCACAAGTATACAAGTATTCATGAATTAGTTGTGAAATGTTATAGCATCAAATCCAACTCCTTGAAACATTTTGATTTTCTGTTTATAACAAGCAATTCTATTTGCAGGTTGCCCCATACAAGAGAGTCCGAAGAGTAGCATTTGTGGTTGCAATTCCCAAGAATCCATCTGGCAAGATTCTCAGGAAGGATCTCATAAAGCTTGCAACCTCCAAACTCTGAATCTGAATAATTCAAGTTTTTAGTAGAGAACATATCCATGGAAGTAGTAGTTAATTCTGCTTTTCACTCGATTTCATGTCCTTGTTCATAGTCCTTATGCTGTACTCCTTCGCTTGTATTTGCTGCACTTTGAGAATCAAGTTATAATTTTTAGTTATCAGTAAATGTGCATAAACAGAGCAGTCAAATGAACATGCGTGGAATGCACTCTTTTCTAGTTTATTTCATGTCCGGTGCTCTGTTGTCCGACTGATTTTTCGTGTTATATATGTTACAAAATATAAAGTATGCTCCAATGTTTGGCTTTGGGCTCTGGAAACCTATAAATTAAGCAAATCCTCGGTACATTTTTTGGAATTTCGCCATGAAACAAAAAAAGATGAAAGTGAACTATGAAGATCAGACAAATACAATATTTAAAATAGAACTAATTTAATTCTATTACCAAAGGTAGGACAATAAGGGCATTTGAATTCATTCCTACAGCCTCAGTATCAATTAAACATGCCCTAATTTTATGAATGAAACTACATTTTGCTGATCATGATGTTGATTATGAGCATGAAAGAGTGGAAAGAAAGAGGTTATTGAAGCTCCCATGTAACTGTAAGTTGTCTCTGCATCGCGGGAGGGATTTCTTCTGATTTCTTCTTAGCAAAGAGAGAATGTTGTCCATCAGTTCTTCCTCACAAGGAACTTGCAGTGGCCCGTTAGCGATTATTCCAAATTCTTCCTCAGCCATCTCTAACAGCACTCTGAAGATGGGGTGATTCAAGTAGTACAGAGGCACAACAAACCTTTTTCCTTCCTTTGTATATACAGAAAAATGACCCTTCTTTCTCTTCCTCCATTTCTCCACCATCTCACTCAGTTTCATTGGAGAAAACTCTCGTATTCAACTGCTAGATAACCTCTTTGCCACTTTCTTTTAGCTTTTTATTACGAGAAAGTTGAGGAGATTTGTAGATTTTGATGATTTGGACTGATTTATTTTTATAGGGATTTTGGCTAGTCAGGTTATTTAAAGGCAATTGAGGAACGCTGAGAGGAGAAGAGATGAAATTCAAGATTGGTAATGTGTGGAGGGCGCGGGGTGCCTTGTGACTTCAATCTTGTGAGTTGGGGAGCTCTATAAATATAAACGTAAAGAAAATCCAATATGTGGGTTAAAGTACTGGAGAGAACATGATCTAGTTTTGTCTTGAACTTTTCTTAAGGTAGTTGAAGATCAGTACAAGTTGACAGACTGAACTAAATGAGATAGATTATCAAATTTGATTGAGTAAATTAAATCTCTTCACATGATAAAGAACTATCGTTCCTTTAATTATACAAGTGGGATCCTTGTCCCAGACATGTGAGCATAATTAAGTCAGTACTTGTAGAGTGTTCATGATAGGGTTCCCCTTAACCGACTCTGTCACAAGAAAACTTACTGAAACCTATGGAAAAATTAACCTACAAAAGGCGAGGGTGTGGTGGTACTGCTTTGGTCTTTAACTGGAAATAGAAATTGTTGCAACCAACGCTCAAAGTTTTGTTTGTTTCTTCCTCACATTTACTGACAGCAACCACCATTTTATCAAAAATTTGAAGGCGTATTTTGACTAAGAAATAATTCCTCATCCATTAAGAAAGAAATCCTCATCCATTACCAAAAATCCGGATAATTGCCGGTTGCAAACCTACGTTTGCATACAAGTATTTGAAGTTCAGCACGTTCATTCCATCTCAATGACCATAGTTTTCGACCACAACATAATATATATTATATAGATATATATATATATATATATATATATATATATATATATATATATTATATATATATATAGATATATATTTATATTTTCAACTGTTCGGCTGCTACGTATTCACAGTGACACTGCCAATAAATCCAATTAACATTATACAATAATGTTCAGATAGAAGGAAATACATATTTTGTCGCTCCCATTTTAGATATTTCTTGAAGATATCTGATTCGATCCTGAAGTTGGGAATATTCTGGAAATACTTTAATTGTTGGGTATCACTTGACAAACCATGCACCGGCTACGTACTTTGACTATCCTCAAGTGAAAAGCTAATAAATAACTAAACTAAATGGTTCGCCCAAATGATATGAACAGAAGATCAAATTGAAATTTTCTTTACCACCGCAATCATTATTGTTGGAAGTTGGAATATATATCTATATGCATGTGGATTGTTAGGCCCACCAAGGTTTTGATCGTGCATGGTCAAGAAATTCCAAAACAAGCCCACATCTGAAACGATCACTTCTATCCAATCGGCACATGGTTTTGCTACGCAGCCTCCGCAACTAGCGTGCTAGCGCAGCACATTTTTAACTGAACACATATTTATAAGTTCCACAAACCTTCCTTGAGATAGTTAAAAGTCCCAATTCCCAAATTTAGTCGTCTTGGTTTCTCTTTTATATTCTTTTGATTTGTCATATTACATAAACAGACTAAAATTCCTGTACCATGATTAGCTTGAAAAAACTGATACTCATTGCGTTGAAGTGGAAGAAAATGGCTGGCATTGGTAGAAGAGCGATTTCACAGCCAAGAGTCAGACGTAGGATAGCCAATAAAGGTAATTTTGTTGTGTATTCCGTTGATGAGAGACGCTTTGTGGTTCCTTTGTTCTGCTTGCATACCAAAATTTTCAGAGAACTCTTCAGGATGTCTGAAGAAGAGTTTGGGCTACCAACAGATGGACCAATTGTTTTGCCTTGCGATGCTGCATTCTTGGAGTATGTTATCTACATCGTCCAAAGGCCTCTTTCTAAAAATATTCAGACGCCATTGTTATTGCATTTGGTCTCCACCAATTAATGCTCACGGTACTCTAGCTGCTTCTTATCAAGAGCCGAGAACAATTATTATTCACACCTACTGACGCTTTTGAAATTAATCTTTACTTGTTTTATTTGTATACTATTCGGTATAGATCGAATTTTTCTTGTAATTTAACATGTAATAAGTCAGGTGATTACTATGTATAGTAGGATTTTCAAGATGTGCAATTGCATAAGGAAACGGGACATTGTAAACTATCGGTCGAGTGTGTTGGCTTGTTGGAACTTGGAACATGGTATGCATGTGGTGAGTCTCAAAAGTTAGCCAAGGGAATCCATGATGCAATAATACAACAATAGCTTTTCAATTCCGTGGCTGATGTCTCTCCAATTGCTGCAAAAAAGAAAAAAAAAAAAAAAAAGAAAAAAAACTTTAGTAGAACGAAATCATTGGTTTTGATTCGGGTGAAAGGAAGAAGATAACATGGCTTTAATTCAATTTCAGTGTTAAATGGACCATACGACTTTAAGGTGATGGCCATGGGGTCATTGTTTTTGCTTTTGCCCCCCGGGGGATAAACAGTCTTACCCTTGAATTTCTTGTTTAATAAGATAGCCTTCTTTTTCTTTTTACTTTATTGAATTGCCAGTAATTTGATCCTTATTGGCTGAATCTTCATTACTATGATCAAGAAATTTACTTTTTAGTACCTTGGCTTAAACCTCTTTGTTTAAATATGTTTTATATCCAAGTTGACTCTTTAATTTTGTAAATGTACTTCAAATTGAAGTTAGAATCATGTATTTTAATAGCATGAATATCTTTTTCTTTTTGAATATTGGGTACCCTGAAAAGACTTCTGATTCAGCATCACCATTAAAATGTGCACTTCTTTATGATTTATCTTTTGATGATGCTTCGATCAACTGAACTCCTTTACCACATAAAAAGCCATGGCTGGTGTCCTTTAGCTAGACATCGGATAACCTTCAATTCACTATGGTGTCTATGATCTGATTTTCCATTATCTTTAAAAAATATTCTAAACCTTAGAATAATATTATATGGATGATAAGAATCTTTGTTTTCCTTAAAGATAACAAGATTGAAAGATTGGTAAGTGGTCTGGTGTCACAGGGCTTCTGGTCCCTTGACGCTGGGGTAGCGTACTTATCTTTCATTAAGATCTTTCCAATTGCAAAGAGTGATAAATGGACCCGTATCAATAATTGAAAAAGAATATTCATGAGCCTGCGTGGATCCAAATATCAATAATTGAAAATTTAACTATTCGAACCTGGAACCCTGATTGGAGCCACCACCGGCATGGTTGGTTTCGCTTTCTCTTCTTTTGGTGCATATCTATATATATTGACTCTTGAGTCATCAAACAAACATAAGCATAAAGTAAAGTTCAAAACAAGGCGATGAAGGCTTTAAATATTATTCTTTTGATTAGCTTCCTGTTAAGTACTGTTAACATCCCGTCAGTTGCTGGCACTAACCTTGATTAAGAACTTGTATGTATTATAAAATTAGAATAGTGATTATTTCTTCTTAACTGTGATGGATTGCATCAGAGGTTATCTGATTGACATGTACAGCTAAAGTTAGTATGCTAAAGCCTCACTAATTGGAACAAGACTCTTGATTCAGACATCAGAGCTATCTCTATATGACGTAAAGAAAAAGTCGAGAAGTTTTATTTTTCCTCTACGTGTAATTGCAATTGGTTGAATCTGGACAAGATATGGTGATGTCTCTGGTGTCGTCGTTAGTTTTCTTGTGCAGCTCTCACATATGCCTTACGTCTATATGTTCAAGTTTCACGTTGAGGGTAAATTATTGAACCATTACTTACGCTTTTTGTCCACTTTTCTGACTTAGTACGTAATTTTTACCCTCATGAATGGGCGCCGATATTGACCAAAACCCCAAAAGATAAGGAAACAAAAGCCTTTGGCTATAGGAAACTAAGAAAAAGAGAAAACTCCAAATCAACTTTCACAAAGAAAGCCATAAACAAAATGAATGGTTCTCTTTATGCCAGTGCATGCATGTAAATAAACAAACCTTGATCTCAGGGGTGATCACCACGTTTCAATTCTTTTGTGGTTGTGTTTCTCCTAACCGTTTGATTTCTCTTTCACTAGACCACCAATCATCTTAATGGGATTTCACATGCATAAGAAAGTTATTATATAAATAAAAGCAATTTAAAGTTTTGAACATGTGCCTAAGAAAGTTGGAGAAGGAAGAAACTAGGAACCTTTTGCACTGTTTAGGTACAACAATAATGGTGATCTGGACTGCTGCATAATCTAACAAAATACTGTATAATTGATATGATACTGACATTTAATGCCTATCAGGTTATTTACATCATGTTAGAAATCAGAAAGTATTTCTAATATTGCAGCAACTGGAAAAGCAAAATCATCACATCAATAAGGTTCCATTAATACATCTCAATGACACCAAGCATGCAGATCTACATTAATGCTTTCAAATTCTTTCAAGTCATGCTACAGGAGACAAGGGTCTCAATCAACGATACAGGAATTTGTTGGTTGAGTTTTCAGTCAAAGTTGCTTTGCTTGTTAAACGCCCAAGAGAATTAAGGGTCAGTATTTCCTTAGTAGGTTCAAGTGTTTATTAGTACTTAGAAGAAGAATTTTATTATCTCTTTGCAGTGAATTAAATCTTAAAAGATATATATTTTTTAATTTAGTGCGCAGATATTCGTACCACAAAAACTTTGATCATTAACAGCAATAGTTGGCTGATAATTTAACGCACTTAATTTTAGTTCTGAATTTCAGGTAATTATGTAAACTCGTATTATCTGAGAATCATGTTTCAAAGTTGAAGACAGTTTATTACCTTAAAGAGTCAAACAAAGGAGTGAGAAGCACTTCTCTATATTGACAAAGATAGTGCTGCCGTGGGAGACGCTGACAATATCAAACTGACGTGCGCAACACTGTGGCTACGGCATTCATCATGTATACAATTCCCAGAAAGAGACTGGTTCTAGAAAGAGTCGGTTTTCACGCTTAATGTTGGACCATCTTTACGATGGATAGCAGCCACATGGGGTCGGGTCAATACTATTTCACTTTATCATCGTCCCCACCATTGCCCTTACTAGCTTCCATCTTCACCTACTCAGCATCCACATATACAACAGTCTATAAATTAAACTCCAAACTCAATGATACGATCAAACTGCAACAGGACATATCAAGTCTATATATATACAACATTGAAGCAAACGCAGCATTCCTTCTTTAAGAAAAGTTTCAGTTTTAAGCTATATTTGTGTTTGACAGAGAGCATTAGTCTTTGTGATGGAGGAGGTGGTGGAATTGAATGTTAGCCCAGTAACAACAAGGCCAGGGATAAAAAGTCAGGCTATAGCGGCCCCTCCATTTCGACTCCATTGTCCTTCAATGTCTCGATCACCGTCACTTGATTCTGCCCCTAAAACCCCCAGAAGCTCATTCACTTCACGTTTAATGACTCCGATATCCAGCCCCATGAAGAAGGCAATTACAAACATGCAAGGTTACTTGGAAGAAGTTGGCCAATTCACAAAACTTGAGCCCCAGCAAGGTCAGGACGCTTGGCTTCCCATCACCGAATCTAGGAATGGCAACGTTTACTACTCAGCGTTTCACACTCTGAGTTCAGGCATCGGAGTTCAAGCTCTTATTCTTCCTCTATCTTTTGTTACCCTTGGTTGGTAAGTTCGTTTGTGTCCGTACATAATTTAATTAGGGTTTTATCTTGTTCAGTTCCCACCAAAGTTTTTTTTTTTTTCCTGTTTTCACATCTCAACTTAATTAATTACAGGACTTGGGGAATTGCATGTCTATCCTTGATCTTCCTGTGGCAGTGGTACACTTTGTGGTTACTGATTCAGATGCATGAATCGGAGTCTGGGATACGTTACAGCAGATATCTCCGTCTTTCAATAACTGCTTTTGGTAAGGGTCGTCGTGTGTATGACTTGGGTTAGGATCATGGATTTCCCAGCTAAAAGTAACAAAATTTGATATCATCAGATATTCAATAATCATAATTTAGCTGTAACACTTTGACAATGTTAAAATTTATCCACCATTTTCTCTTGTATTTTTTTCATGGAGCAAGTAATCAACCACGGTTAAAAGAAACATACGTGCACTATTTTCAGGTGAAAAGCGAGGGAAGCTGCTAGCTCTCTTTCCGATTATGTATCTATCGGGTGGCACTTGTACAATCCTGATTATGATAGGAGGTGGGACGATGAAGATATTTTTCGATATCATGTGTGGGGACACATGCCTCGTAACTCCTCCGACAGCTGCAGAGTGGTACTTGGTGTTCGCTTGCGCAGCCATTATTTTGGCTCAGCTTCCCAATTTAAACTCAATAGCTGGAGTTTCCCTAATTGGAGCTATCACAGCCGTTAGTTACTGTACAGTGATATGGGTTGTGTCCGTCGTCAAAGGGAAGCCCCCGGGCGTATCCTATGATCCACGGGAGGCAAATTCTGACATGGCCAAGCTTTGCAATATTCTCAACGCACTTGGGATAATCGCCTTCGCTTTCAGGGGCCACAATCTTGTTCTGGAAATACAGGTGAAGCCACCTCGTTCATATATCAATTTGAAGCTGAAGATGATTGTTCAACTTATTTAATCTCTCTTTATCTAGTTTGGCCTTCAACTACCGATTCTAATTGTCTAATTATGATATTATTGCAGGGAACCATGCCTTCTAGTTCAAAGCACCCATCCCGAGTGCCGATGGGGAGAGGAGTAAATTTTGCATATTTGATTATTGCAGCGTGTTTGTTTCCGCTTGCAATAGCTGGCTATTGGGCTTACGGAAACTTGGTGAGTGTTTTTATTGGATCTGTTACTGAATTGCGATTTGAGACTTTTAACGGACAAGTCACAACCCAAAATGAAGGGCCTTGTGGCCTGTTATAGCCATATCATATTATCATTCTCTCTTTTGGTAGGTAATGTAATCTTGTTTGCTGTGGTTCTTGACAGATACCTGAATCTGGAATGTTGGATGCCTTGTACAATCACCACGGAAATGACACATCCAAATTGCTGACGGGGTTAACAAGCTTATTTGTAGTGATCAACAGTCTTAGCTCATATCAGATTTATGCTATGCCAGCATTTGACAATATGGAATTCAGATATACTAGCAAATTTAATAAACCATGTCCATGGTGGCTCCGCACAGGGATCAGGGTCTTCTTTGGAAGCTTTACATTCTTTTTAGCAGTAGCACTGCCATTCTTGCGCGACTTGGCAGGACTAATTGGAGGAATCGCATTACCTATCACATTAGCATATCCATGTTTCATGTGGATACAAATCAAGAAGCCCCCGAAATATGGTGCAATCTGGTCCCTTAATTGGATCTTAGGAGTCTTGGGAATGGTTCTCAGTATTTTAGTGGTGATTGGAGCAACATGGAGTATAGTTACAATGGGCTTAGAAATTCACTTCTTCAAGCCCCAATAAGCAAGCAGCCACAAGAATTCTTGGCGAATTCTGTAACCAGTGCATAGCCTCGTATGCTCAGCAATCATTTACGTCATGAAGCCTGAAATTCAGCGAAAAGTGACACAACTGTATATCTAATATTAGTATATTACACTAGTGCTGTCTTTCTCGCTTGATGCAGTTGTGCAGTTTTAGAAAAAAAAAAAAAATATATATATATATATATACACATACACATTGGGTTTATAAGATATTGAATGAGCCTTCAGGATTAATCAAGATACACGTAAGCAAATATATATATATACATAGGATTAATCAAGATACACGTAAGCGTATGTATATATATATATATCATGAAAACATGCAAACCTTAATAACTATAGAACAACCAAAAATTGACAGACGACGTCTCTAAGCTGCAAACCACAGAGCCAAGCAGCTGCCTAACTAGAACAACATAAATTCATTTATTTTATCATTTAGTAGAGCAAATATTTCCGCCATCTTGTTCAACTCATATTTTCTAAAACGATGTCAGTGGCTATATTAGCTTTCCAAACTACACACAAATTTGTCCTGATTATTATTTGGCAATTGTGACAGCAGTTTGATGTTTGACAAAATAATTGACCTATATTTTGCAGTTCCACCCTTCCGCAGCCACCCTGCAGCTCCTTTTAACAACCCATATATTTTATCAGGGACTGAAACAATCTCTAACACAACTTATTTTTATAAAACTCTGATCCATCTCCTTGCAATTTCTACAAGTAAATCTTGTTAGGATATTGTTTTCTTTCAGTAAATGTTTATACAGCAAACAAGTAGCAAGACAACTTACCTTGAACTACCTTGTTCTCATTCAATTGCAAGTTGAAACATCCCAACTTTGTATCTTGAGAGGTAACAAGAGACCACTTTCATGGGTAATTGTTAAAAAAATCATATCAATCATATTCTTTAATCAACTTGCTCTAGGTGCAATTACACACTCCAATAAACCAAAGAGAGCTCAGACCGAATGCAACGGCCAACAATTCTCACGATTTACAAAACAAAGTTGGATTGCTTAAAATAGCTTTCAACTTGTGGTTTTACATAGACAATGGAAGTAACATCCTTCGTTTCTTTTTCCTAGCCAATCTCACTTGCTTTGTAATTTTCATGCATAAAAGCAATAGCATTGTGATGCATACTAAGATAAAAGCAAGTTGCAAATGCCTAAAATATAACGAAACCGCTGAAAAGACCAGGAAAGCTAGAATGATAAGTTCCCATATTACGAAGATCACAACATCAACCCTGCATCCACAACAAAAAAAGGGGGGAAAGGCACAATTATTGATGTCCTGAAGATATTTAAAAAAAAATGGGTATTGAAAAAAATAAAATTCAAGAGCAAAAAGTTATCACTAATAAACACTGTTGAGTTGAAATTTTCTATCTGCCCAATCATGAAAATTCAGTGAGTTGAGTTGAAAACCTTCTATAGCATAATAATGAGAATTTTCATTAAGATCACAACAATGGCAAACAAGCTCCTCCATTACTTTTAATACCTTACTTAAACCAGCTTCAAAATTATTCTTTAAGTTTACTACATTTCATCCTTGTACAGTTGTACTCTTAAATATGAAGTTAAAACTCACTGAAAATCACAAGAATTCTAAAGAATAACATTTTCAATGGGACTGTAGAAAGGCTTTTGAAGTTGTCAATAGATGATAGCATAGATCAATCTTATCCATCATGGAGAAACCCCATATCAAGTTTCTACGACTAGATGAGTTATTGACCCAAAGCCAAAAAAAGACCTTACTAGATTGAAAAGAATAAATTTACATTTCCAAATCCTACATAAAACAGAATGGCCCCAAACCTCATATCAAGAACTTATCATAGAAAATGGCTCACAGCTATCTTTTTAACTTTTTTAATTTATATATGAAAGCATGGCCAATTAATTTCTGAAGAAAAGCATCAAGCATTCAAGCATACAGGTAAAATTTCTGTTGCATCCGAAATTTAACTCTGAGCTGCACAGGATTCTCCTGATTGTTAAGTGAACATATGTATCATCTCAAGCATGATGTTAGCTATAGTTTCTTTTTTAAACTCTCTGAATTTTCTCATAACCCCAGGTCCCCACCCATTTCCTCTAATAGATGACTCTGTTGAATGCCTCCCAAGCTACAATTCTCTGAAAGGATATTAATAAACATATCTAAATTGATGAATTAAAGCTAAATTTTAAACATAACCAAGCTTCAATTGTCTCACTATTTGGTTTCAAAAAAGAATTAAAATTCTTTAAAAGCCCCAAAAACCCAAGCTAATCAGGCTAAATCAATAGAGTTGTAAATTATAACCACTTTCTAAATTACAACAACAATATTAAAGATCTCACAAACAAACAGCAAAGAAATAATTCAGAAACTGTAGTATTATGGCAAGAAATGACATTTAAGATGAAATTAAATGTTACCTGGAAGAAGGTAGATTAGAAGTAGAAGAGAAAAATGAGACAGAAGCCCAATCGTGCTTGGATCGATTCTGATATTCTCTCAACTGCTCTGCCAGATTCGATCGCGTTATCATTGCTGCCTTGGCTTTGTTTCTCCCTCCAGAGTCGCTTTATGACTCGTTTATGAATGGAGATTTCGGAGAGGAATTGAACGATGAACTGGCAGAAAAGGCAGCAAAGAGAGCATCAACGTTCAATTGGTTTTTTGGCCCTGGGTTTCCTTTACCTGGACCTTGTCTCACGCTAATTTTTCCCTTTTTTTTAATCCAAAATTATTACTTTTTTAAACCTTGCTTAACCTTTTAAATCAAAGCCGGCAGGTTTGACGGGTTGCCTTAATCAACACCCGAATGACCCGTCATGAATTCTGTTTGGGCTTTGAGGTCTAGTTATGAATCATGGGCCCACTTAAAATAATTTGGATTGATCCGTTAATAATCGGATCCAAATAAAATTACATCCGACAATATACGGTGAATTTGTGTGGTACTAGTACTAACGGGTCCCGGAAGATTTTGTCGGTCTAATGTATTGACAAAATATGGTTAGTGGGTAATTTTACGAAAAACACCCCTTAAAATATGGGTATTTCAAAAAATAATGTCGTCCAAAGCTACAGAAGCTAGACGATTAACGATTAACCCACAATGGATTCAGGCACCGAAGCACCGCAAGAGGCATCAGATAACCCCAACGACGACATCGTTTCCGAGGAGTCTTCACCAGAAACTGATGCCACACTCTCACCAATTCCACCCGAAACCCACCACGAAACTGAAGATGCTCTAAACACAACGGAAACCAACAACTCTCAGTCTCCACCGAACAATACGACACTCGAGGCCCCCGTCTCGGACTCTCAAGACGATTCCTCTGATCCTATACCCGAAGAAAAACCCCGAAACCCTAACCCCGCTGAACCGGGCCCGCCTCCTAGAAAAAGGCGCCGTAGAAAGCGTTTCTTCACCGAACTCAACGGCAATCCATCATTTGCCAAAAACCGCCGCCCTAGATTCTCGTGCCTGGCCAAAGAAGTTGATACTGAAGCGCTAATCGCAATCTCGGTCGGGTTCCCTGTTGATTCACTCACTGAAGAAGAAATCGAAGCCAATGTAGTCTTTAGAATTGGAGGAACCGAACAAGCCAACTATATTGTTGTAAGAAACCACATTCTAGCTCGCTGGAGATCGAATGTTTCAGTTTGGCTGACGCGTGAACACGCGCTAGAGTCAATTCGGTCCGAGCACAAAACCCTAGTGGACTCTGCTTATAATTTTTTACTAGAGCATGGTTACATCAATTTTGGACTGGCACCGCCTATTAAAGAAGCGAAATTGAGGTCACTTGACGGTGTGGAGAGGGCTCATGTGATAGTTGTGGGTGCGGGACTTGCGGGTTTAGTTGCGGCTAGGCAGTTAATTTCAATGGGGTTTAGGGTTGCCATTCTGGAAGGTAGGGCCCGGCCTGGTGGGCGCGTTAAGACATGTAAGATGAAAGGCAATGGCGTGGTGGCTGCAGCGGATTTAGGTGGGAGTGTCCTCACCGGAATAAATGGGAATCCACTTGGAGTTCTTGCTAGGCAGCTGGGGCTGCCACTTCATAAGGTGAGAGATATTTGTCCTTTGTATCTACCAAATGGTAAAGGAATTGATGCTGATATTGATTCTAGAGTAGAGGTTGCGTTTAATAAGTTGTTGGATAGAGTTTGTAAACTTAGACATTCTATGATTGAAGAATTTAAATCTGTAGATGTTCCGTTAGGAAGTGCACTTGAAGCCTTTAGAAATGTTTATAAAGTTGCCGAGGATCCACAAGAGCGAATGCTCTTGAATTGGCATTTAGCAAATTTGGAGTATGCAAATGCTTCATTGATGTCTAATTTGTCGATGGCTTTCTGGGATCAAGATGATCCATATGAGATGGGTGGTGATCATTGTTTTATTCCTGGTGGCAATGAAAGGTTTGTTAGAGCACTTGCTGAGGATCTTCCGATATTTTATAAAAGGACCGTGGAGAGTATCAGATATGGAGTTGATGGGGTTATGGTGTATGCAGGTGGTCAGGAGTTCCGAGGAGATATGGTTCTTTGTACGGTGCCATTAGGTGTACTCAAGACAGGAAGGATTGAGTTTGTACCTGAACTTCCACAAAGAAAGAAAGATGCAATACAGAGATTAGGTTATGGATTGCTAAATAAGGTTGCAATGTTGTTCCCTTATAATTTTTGGGGTGGAGAGATTGATACGTTTGGGCATTTGACAGAAGATTCAAGTATGAGAGGTGAATTCTTTTTGTTTTATAGCTACTCTTCTGTATCTGGAGGACCACTACTTGTTGCTCTTGTTGCGGGGGATGCTGCAATTAAGTTTGAGACTATGTCTCCTGTGGAATCTGTGAAAAGAGTATTGGAAATATTGCGGGGTATTTACCATCCAAAAGGGATTGTTGTTCCAGATCCAGTGCAGGCAGTCTGTACTCGCTGGGGGAAGGATTGCTTCACCCATGGGTCTTACTCTTATGTTGCAGTTGGATCTTCAGGCGATGATTATGATATTCTTGCGGAGAGTGTAGGAGAGGGGAGAGTTTTCTTTGCTGGAGAGGCTACTAATAAACAGTATCCGGCCACAATGCATGGAGCCTTTTTAAGTGGGATGAGAGAGGCTGCTAACATACTAAGAGTGGCCAAGAGGAGGTCAATGGCTCTAACTATTAAAGCAAATAATAATGATACTGAGGAAATTGGTATTTTGGAAAAATTATTTGAGACCCCTGACCTAAAATTTGGGACCTTTGCTGCTTTGTTTGACCCAATGTCTAATGATCCTGAATCCCATGCATTGATAAGGGTCAAATTTCAAGGAGAAAAATTGGACTGTGGTTATCTTTGTCTGTATTGCTTGGTATCAAGGAAGCAGGCCATTCACCTTAGTGAGTTAGATGGAGACAAGAGCAGGATGAAAATGTTACATCACAATTTTGGGGTGAGATTGGTTGCAAGGAGAGGCTTGTGTAATGCTGGGGAGTCTCTTATCACACGCATTAAAGCAACTAAATTAAACCTAGATGAAGGGGTTTGAGATTATATTCTGGGCTCAGAGAAATAAGTTTATTCATTAGTTTTAGAAATAGGTAGATTTGGTTAGCTTATTAGCTTGTCAAATTTTTCAGTTGATTTCCGTTTGTCTCTGGATAGATTTGGATGGAGATAGCCTTAAGTCAATTTTGTGGATTACCTCATGTCGAATACTTGCACATTCACAGGACTAGATCTTTTCATTTTAATTTAGAACATGATTGATTTCATCACATAATGCAAATGATTTCTTGTTTCCGGAGAAGCAACATTTTCTTTAGCAACTTTTTGAGGTACTTTTGTCTTTTCATTTCATTGTATAGCCATCGTTGTGGTTGACTACTGGAACTTGAATTTGTTTCATTGTGCTGACCACCTTGTAAATTATTATTTGCTTTGGTAATGCCATAAATTATATAGGCCAGAAGCAATGTCATTTGCTTGTAATGCTTATATGCCCGGATTTGAGAAATTGTTGGGCATCTGAAATGTTATAAATACTGAAAGTTTGTTTAACTAGAGAGGTTGCTGTTAATTGATGTTGGGAATGAGATAATTTTGAAGCATTCATATTGTTTCTTCTCCGCTCTGTTGAGGTGCTTACATTTATTTAAAGGAAAACCTTTCAGTATCCTTATATGGGTTGCAGAAGTTGGGCGCTGTGTCCGAGTTCTTTTCAGTTTTCTCTTAATACTAGCATTCCAGATTCAGATCTAATGGTACGTAGATAAGTTTTAATGTTTTTGGCTTTTCTTATCATTCTTGATGCTCATAAAGCATTTTGGTAGACTTACAACTATGTTCAGTTTAATTCTGCTTCCTGTGAGACTCGTTCAATTGCTTTCCATGCAGATATTGATTTGCCTTTGACTGTGACTCAAATCTACTACCACGTCTGACAGGTATGAGGAGGTCATATCTTGATTTGTCAGGTGTCAAATGGAAGCATAATCTTATCATCTATTATCTTATTAGAGTGAGTTGGCCTGTGCTTTGATTGCTACAATGGCCACAATGTCGAGTTCTTTTCTCTTAATATAAGGTCCATCTGGTATCACATTACGTTACGTAACGGTGAAACTATCATTGAGATCTGTGATTACGAATTCTTCCTAGCAGTCATCTCTCTGCCAATCCAACTACCCATTTTAAGAAAGGAAAATCTTTCAGCCAATCCAACAAACCATTTAAGAAACGAAAATATTTTCATAGCTCCCTTCGTATTCTGGTTTAGTTGATTGGGATATTGCATTTTCAAGCTCTTATGGTGGTAAAAGTAAAACGAGGGTGCAATGTAGACAAAACCCAATGTAATAAGGAGGATGCTCTATACTTTCTGAGACCGTAAGTGTCAACTACTTTCTTAAATTTTACTTTTGACTCCTGCCCATGACTGAAGGGTTTAGATTAGCTTGATAAGCTAGGATTCAGATACTACTTTAGTTTGAAATCATAATCCTCAATGCACATGTAAATCCATCTGTATATGATAATCATATTTTAAACATTGGTAATTGCTAGTATGGACTTCAACATGTACAGTTACAGGTCTTGGTAATTCACTACTACTCGTTTTTGTCATGCAGCTAGTACATGGAAAGTGCTCATCTTGACGCAGGCATGGCTTCAAAATTTATGACTATTGAAGTGGTTAAGAGACTGAAGTATGCAGCACGTTTGACAGGATAATTGGCAGGCCATATCTTAAATCTTAATTTGTAAAATGTCAAATGGAAGCATAATCTTATCCTTGCTGAGATCTGGAATGTCAAATTTTGTTGATGTAGATGATGCTGAAAATTGTACAGCTGCTTTGCCGTAGTTCAGCACACGTATTCGAATACGTTATACCAGAGAAAAATTTAAGTGCAGACAATTAGAACAGGTCACGTGCAAACAATCAAGTACACGTCAGAACTGCACAAGTGGCCACCAAAAGTGGCATTGGGTAAGGGAATTACTAATTATCAACACTAAACCGACCTTCTGTCCGCAAACAGTCTCCTAAGCCTAAACGTAAACTACGTATCTTTAATCTCGGGAAAGCGAACCTTCATACTGGATTAACTCAACCAAGCCCACCACGGCCCACCCATCAGCGTTCTTGTACACCTCTAAACCTAACGGTCGCAAATCTCGATGCGTCCTTCTCTAAGACGCAACTTCCACGTGGTCCCACACTCGAACTCGTTCCTGGGCCCCAACGCCGACCTTCCCATTTTTATCATTTAAAAAACCGACAGTTTTAGGACCCACTAAGACAACCTTTCACGTTCTTCTTACACGTGTCGTTTATTCCTTCGCTCGTATGCTTCACCAGACCATTACAGCGTGTCTCTCTCGCCTTTTCCACTTTCTTCTTTTTCATTTTGACTGTTACCTTAAAACTCTCTCTGCGTCGTATCAAACTCTTAAACTCGCGATCCTTATAGTGACACCTGTCAAGACAAGACAGCTGTTTGGCAGATGAAGCGTGTATGTAGTTTGAAAATTAATCGAGCGAGTGATATGTACCCTTTATTATTCTTAGTTTAACGCATACGTCGGTTACAGAACTCATGCTGGATTGGTTTAACCTCTTTGGCTTTATGATTGCTTAGTCGCGTCGTATACGCGTGGTGGGATTACTATAAAAGCCACTGAGACTCAGTGAGGAAATCCATTGTCAAGAATATCGAAAACTTAATACAAGCTCTTTAGTGATCACTACTACTGCTTCTCTTTTTTCGTTCTGTTTTGTTTGTTCATCTTCTTTGATCTTTCAATCGTTTATTTTTTTGTGATATATATCGGTGAAATAGTTATAAGAATGGCAGAAGAGCACCACAACAAGAGCCATGAGTTTGAGTCCACTGTTGTTGGCGAGGGTGCAGTGGAGACCAAGGATCGTGGTATGTTTGATTTCTTGGGGAAGAAAGAAGAGGAGAAACCTCAAGAGGAGGTGATCGTCACCGAGTTTGCGAAGGTTCAGGTATCGGAACCAGAGCCAAAGGTTGAGGGACCAAACGAAGAGGAAGGGAAAAAGCCTGGTCTCTTAGAGAAGCTTCACCGATCCGGTAGCAGCAGTTCAAGCTCTGTAAGTTGCTAATTCATTGTTCTATAAAAGAATACATGTGTTTTTTAGAATTCTTGTATTGTATTCTATTGTTATTTTGTTGCGGTATTATAATTGTTTGAATATGTTATTATGTATGCAGTCAAGCGATGAAGAGGAAGGTGAAGGAGAAGAGAAGAAGAAGAAGAAAAAGAAGGAAAAGAAGGGATTGAAGGAGAAGATGGCAGAAGAAAAGGAAGAGGAAAAGTACGAGGACACAGTAGTCCCTGTTGAAGTAGTGGACCAAGAGCCACCCCATCCAGAAGAAAAGAAGGGTTTCCTTAATAAAATCAAAGACAAACTACCAGGACAGCACAAGAAAACTGACGAGGTTCCCCCTCCTCCGCCGCCAGTCGAGTCTACCACCCCAGAGGCACCATCTCATGAGGCAGAGGCAAAGGAAAAGAAAGGCCTTTTGGAGAAAATCAAGGAGAAGATTCCTGGGTACCACCCCAAGACTGAAGAGGAGAAGGAGAAAGAAAAAGAAAGTGCTTCCCATTAAGAATACAATATCGTGCTTGAAAGTTTGTGTTTCTTGTTTATTTTGTTATGATTCTGGATCTGTTTGTTTAATTTGTTGCTGTATATTTAAGTTTGCTTACAGTATTATTTCGATGTTCTGATACAAAGGAATGCTTATGCCTTATTGTTTCCTTTGTTTGGCGAGTTTATTAAGCGAGTTATCAATCTCTTTCTGTATAATAATGCTTTTGCTTTGTGTATGCAATAATGCTGCCAGCCCCACACGGTTTTCCTTTTTTGGTTACTGAATTCATAAAGAGAGATTAGTACAGATAAGTTGATATAACGTCTGGCCTCGAAAAGTGGACGTGTGTGTTCATAGTGAGTATTCCAGATTACTCCTGAATTGAATAATAAATTTAATTTTCAGATAAAATTAAATTAAATACAGCTATAAGTGGCTCCAGAAGTGACTGTTTTCATACCATTAATGGCCAAGTGTTGATTTGATTGCGGACGTACGTGGAGATTATAATTTGGACGTCTTCGTTTTAAATGCAATTATATTTGAACAGCTCATATATGCCAGCCGGGACGTTATGCCAGTATTCTAGTATTCTTTTGAAATATTAATGCTGTAAAGGTGAGATTTTAATAGAGTAAACGACATGTTCTCACCCAAGGTTTTGCGAATCTAAAAGTACTCGCCCCTGGTATGATAAATCCCAGATTCCCACCCCCTACTCTATTCCACTCCCCCAAATTAGTAAAAATTCAAAATTTCCTTGACATCTCAAATTTTCTCACAACCCAACCCTTCCTCTCCGCCTCCAACTCCACCACCACCAACACCAACACCACTGGCAAACAAAAAGCAGCACCAGGTCGAGCAAATGACTTCACTAATGGGCGGCAATCCATCGACACGGCAGGATCACACAGATCATGTGTTGACCATGGACCAAGGAAGTGCAATAGAGGTGGGCACGCAATAGGGTGTTGGTGCTAAGTTGGCTAGTTGTTGGTTAGGGCAATAGGTTGAGCAATTGGTATTTGGTGGATGCAATTTGGGGGCAAGGAATTTGGTGGCCATCGGTAGGGAAAGTGGCTGGAAAAATCTGCAAACAACCAACAAACACTCCAAAATCTACTCCAAATTAACCTCCAATCAAACCCAATTTCATCAATCAAGCGAAACCCTAAAAGAGTGGTGGATGGAAAACTGCGAGCAACCGAGGTCAGGGGTGTTAGGGCTTTTGGAGGAGGGGTGCCAATGGTGCAGTTGGTGGTGAAAGGGGTGATTTCTGGTGCCAAGATCGACCGGAATTTGGCAAGAGAGGCGTGACAATTGCGCAAAACCCTAAGGGGTTGGCGGCAGCAATCAATTGGCTAATGAGGTGGGGGAGGTTGGGGGTTTTGGTAGGGGGACACCGGTGAGTCTATTGTGGGGTCGGAGGTGATTTTCGGCGAAGCGGCGGCCAGAGAAAAGAAAATGTTGAAGAAGAGAAAAATAAAAAAAAGTTGAAGAAGAGGATGTTATTGAAATAAATTTGAAAGTAAAATTGTCATTCTCTAACTCTACTAATTTGAGAGATAAAAAGTAATTTATTAATTTTTGTGTCAAGGTCAATTTGATAATTGAATTCTTTATGCTGTATCAGACTCCAAAACTAACTGACGGAGTTGATTTAAATGTGAGAATCTGAAATTTATGAAATCAAGGTGGAAAGTTGTAGATTCGCAAAACCTTGGGTGGGAACATGTCGTTTACTCATATTAATATAATAAAACTTAGATCTATGTCATGATTCTCATCTAACATCTTTTTAACGAAGGCAAATACCAGCCGACATGTATTCATGACATAAGAAGAGTGGTGGCGACAATTGCGATAGAAATTGAGCATTTTCAAGCTTTTATGGTGGGAAAATGAGGATATACAATAGACAAAAGCCATAGTAATTGAAAGAGGATACTGAGTACTTTCTAAGACTATAATCCTTTTTCTCCTTGTTTTTTCTCCTTTTGAATAGACATATGATCAATTATTGTCTCAAGTGGTTGCGAAATTCCTTAAATTTTACAGCACTTAGTGACTTGGCATGATTTGAGGTTTAGCGGTTTAGCATGCTTTGATAACGAGTTTCAACCACTTTTCTATGTTTCTTTTGACTCTTGCCTGGACCAAGCGGTCTAGATTAAGATTAAGCTTTATAAACTAGGATTCTGATACTACTTAGATTATATTTTACAAGTTCAATTTGGAGCCCAAACTTTTTGACTAAAATTGTTGATGCTTGATTTTAACGCCAACAGCTTCGCACGTGTAAAGTGCTAAGAAATCACACGTAAGCTAATTATAGTGAGTGGATGAGATACTGTGAGGACAGTAGTATGCAAAGACGTAAATATAAAGTTGACAAGATAATTTTTACAGTGGTTCAGATGCTTAAAGTGAATACTATATCTACTGTGTTCATTTATATAAATTACTTTCTGATCACTAGATATGCTTACAAGAGGTCGCAAACTACAATCTGGGATTACAGATATTTGGTGTTCTAAGTGTTCTTAGAGAATGTCAAGACATTCTCTTTCTAATGTATCTTTGCTATTTTCTTGTTGAATGCGTAAATGTTTGATGTCATTTTATGAGGGGGGAGCTACCTATTTAACCCGTTTAGATCAAGGTAATGATTATACTTTTGTAAGTGGCCTGATGTCGTGAAGATCTCTCATACCTTCTCATTCGTTGAGAACTAAAAGAATATCCTTAAATTAAATGGGGCTTGGACAGGTGTGCAAACCAAATTCATCTAGGCATAAATTCTTGAGTCGTTTTAGGTCTGTGACAGCTATATTCATTTTCTCTATAGAGACAGTGAAATGCTTTTTGGGATTTTGATTGGTACTTGAGACGTCAGCATATGTCAGCCCTTATTTTAGTCATAACAGAAGTGATCCATTAGCATATTAGAAGTGAGACCCATAAATTTGAAATTGATCCAAAGTTCTTTCATCATGTGAAAAGAAGCCAACTTGAATAACACTCTGAGGCCTGAGCATGAAGTTTTAGTGCTAGTGTTATTGGGTGGCTGGACCTTCCCTCAGCCGTTGAAGCAGAGCATAATACGCTTCCTAGCAGACAAGAGAACCCCTTGTCAATCTTCGCCGCCACGGTGCTATCTAAGAAAGAAATTGTCTTTTGCCAACTCAGTCTTTGGCAAAATACACTAAAACAAACTAAAAACCCTTCTTTTAATTGGGCGTAAAAGGTATCAAAGAATCTCATCACAAAATACTAAGAAACGTGTAGCTTTATATACTGCTAATCAATTTTACAATGGAAATATGATGGATAGCATAATGAACCCACATTTACATCTTCTATCTCTTATTGTTGTTGTTGGTTTTGTTTGTGCAACAGTAGGAGAAGCCAATGGGCAACACTTGATTGGAGTGGGGAGTTATGACATGACAGGTCCAGCTGCTGGAGTGAACATGATGGGCTATGCAAACCTAGAACAAAATTCTGCAGGAATTCATTTCAGATTAAGAGTCAGGACTTTCATTGTGGCCGAAAGTTCTAAAGGAACAAGATTTGCTTTTGTAAATCTTGACGCGGGCATGGCTTCACAGCTTGTCACAGTTAAAGTGCTAGAGAAGCTGAAGTCAAGGTACACCATGCTAAAGTTCAAATATTGAATCTACCATACATAATATATGACCAGTTGATTAATGTTTATGGGATGTTGTGTCTTTTCAAGGTATGGAAATTTGTACACTGAAGAGAATGTAGCAATTAGTGGCATCCACACTCATGCAGGGCCTGGGGGTTATTTGCAATACTTGATTTACTCGATAACTTCTCTCGGGTTTGTCCAGCAATCTTTTGACGCCATTGTCACCGCAATTGAACAGAGCATTGTTCTGGCTCATAACAACCTCAAACCTGGTTCAATTTCTATCAATACAGGTAATTGTTCAAGAAGTCTTAAATCTATTCATGAAAATATTACGTGCTTTTGAAGCAAACTTTTAAATCATTGACCATGCATTTGACTTTCGCGTCCTTCCGTCTTGCTTATACTCTGCAGGAGAGGTAGAAAATGCGGGAATAAACAGGAGTCCAAGTGCATATCTGCTTAACCCGGCGGAGGAGAGAGCTCGATACTCAACGAATGTCGATAAAGAAATGACGCTTTTGAAATTCGTTGATGGTGCGAGTGAGAAAAGCATAGGAGCCTTCAGTTGGTACGCAACGCATGGGACCTCAATGTCCAGAGACAACAAGCTCATCAGCGGGGACAACAAAGGCGCTGCAGCTAGGTTCTTTGAAGACTGGTTCACTTCCACCAACAAATCTTCATCCACATCACATACCAAATCTTCCCCGAAATCGGGTACGAATCTCTTTTAAAATTTTGCGATGTCTCTTTGATTCAGGCGGCTAAAATTTTCAAATTTACTGACAGAGATTGGGACGCTCATAAAGAAAGCACAGACAATCAAAGCCACTGGAGGAACAACGTGCGGTAAAACAACTAGTCAAGGCTTCAAGGTGAGGAAGAACGATGGATCTTTATTTGTAGGAGCATTTTGCCAATCAAATGTTGGAGATGTGACACCAAATGTGCTAGGAGCATTTTGTACTGATAGTGGAAAGCCATGTGACTTCAATCACTCTTCATGCCATGGCAATGACCTGCTTTGCGTGGGCCGCGGTCCTGGGTATTAATAGAAGTCTCTTTAAATAAGCTAATTAATTTGTGCTGCTTATCTAAATGAACTAAACTGGTCTTTTTTAACAGGTACCCGGATGAAATATTAAGCACAAAGATCATAGGAGAAAGGCAATTCCAAAAGGCTTCAGATTTATTCATGTCTGCTACAGAGCGATTGAGCGGGAAGATTGATTATCGTCATGCATACATAAATTTTACGAATATTGACGTGGAATTAGATGGAAACAACAAAGTCAAGACTTGTCCTGCAGCACTTGGCCCAGGTTTTGCCGCTGGAACTACAGATGGCCCTGGTGTTTTTGGTTTTCAACAAGGTGATACAGAGGTCAGTAACTTAATTAGGATGATCATTCAGTATCTTAACATTTCTACTCCAGTTATTAAAAAACCAAGTCAGTGAATGAAATTCTTTTGTTTGGTCTTTTCAGATCAATGAGTTGTGGAAAAAATTAAGGGATTTGCTGAAAAAGCCAAGCCAATATCAGGAAGACTGCCAAAAGCCCAAAGCTGTTCTGCTTTCTTCGGGCGAAATGTTTGAACCTTATGCATGGGCGGTAGGAACTGAATTCGCCAAACATGAATTATCTATTCTAATTTTGCAGTAAGAGAAGTTTATACACGAATGTACAGAGCATGAATTATCTTATAATTTATGATTGGCATATTTCTGATATAAATGCAGCCAGCAATTCTTCCTATTCAAATCTTGAGGTTGGGGAAACTGATCATACTTTCTGTACCCGGAGGTTTGTTCTCTTTCTCTGTATTTATCACAAAAGGGCAGAATTCTAGAAAAAGAATGAACTGTTTCTCCAAAATATCCCTTTCGCAAAGAGCTCACAAACTTCCAGCAGTGCTTGAGCTTTTTATTTCAGTATTTTCTTCATTAAAATTTACTTGTATTGGACAAGCTTTAAACATATGGAAATTGCAGAGTTCACGACAATGGCTGGTCGACGACTGAGAGAGGCTGTTAAGAACACATTGATAACGAAAGGAAATGGGGAATTCGGTAACGACACCCAGATTGTAATAGCAGGCCTTACAAACACTTACTCACAATACATCACTACTTTCGAAGAATACGCACATCAACGATATGAGGTACATCACAAGCTGATATGTAGGATTTTATTAGAAATAAGAAGTTAAATTCTGATTTTTCATGTTGACAATGAGATGTGTAGGCTGCTTCAACGCTCTATGGCCCCTATACATTATCAGCATACATACAGGAATTCAATGAACTAGCAAAAGCAATGGCGAAAGGAGAACAAATCATGAAGGGCCCATCCCCACCAGATCTTTCATCTGTACAACTCAGTCTCTTAATTAACCCAACTGGAGACTCACCTCCTCCTGGCGTAAAGTTTGGCGATATAAAGCAAGACATTAATCAACCAAAGACTGGCTCATTTCAGAAGGGTGACAAACCAAGTGCCACGTTTTGGAGTGCCGACCCCAGATACGATTTGTTAACTGAAGGTACATATGCTGTGGTAGAGATGCTTCAAGGGCAGCAGTGGATTCCTGTTTATGATGATGATGATTTCAGCCTATTTTTCAAGTGGACATTGGACAACGTTACTTTCAATGGCTTAGCAACCATTGAATGGGAAGTGCCACCAGAGGCTAGCTCTGGGGTTTACCGGCTAAGGCATTTTGGGTCATCTAAGAAAACAAAAGACTCTCCAAATGAATACTTTACTGGTGCGTCTAGTGCATTTACTGTGTCATAGATACGTTCATGTTCTTCCATGGGAAATAATATAGAGCTGTTTGGTGTCAAGCATGTAATTCAAAACAGTGAGTCCAGTAGACTCTCAACTCATTTCAATTTTCGCTTGAGGTACAAATAATCGCTTGAGTAATTCAAGGAAACAGGGAACATGACGAACCACAAGAATACAAAAGAGAAAAACTTATCTAAGGCTTCATTGATGTCTTCAAACCTCGTCTCATGTGAGACAAACTCATCCAGTAGTAATTCCTGAAAAGTAATACAAATATAGACATATACATCTCTGTCAACTCTTCAGATTTTAACAAATATTGATCATCACTAAAGTGGGCACAGAAAAGAAAAATGGGTTTCCAACTAATCTAGGATAAGCAACAAAGAACATTAAAAAGGAAAGAAAGTTAATAGTTACCGTTAAATTACCTTGTCCATGTAACGTTTCAGCAAAATAGGAATATCAGATTTAGCTTTGAGACCTCCGAACAATGCTCCAATCAGATTTTTTCCACTATGAAGGACCTCATGAGAGTTTAGGCTCAACTGAGACCCTGGCTGGTCCACTCCTAACACAATTGTCTTTCCCCAACCCTGAGGTTACATAATAAATATTTATGTTTATTAACATTCATTTTGTGTATCTATGTGATCGCTAGAAACCCATTTGTATCTTCAAGATGCAAATAATATGTTTCTTGGATGTCATTCTCTAAATCATCTTGTGCATGTGTGTGACTGAGAGAATGAGATAAGCAGACCTGTCTACAGCAAGCATATGCTTCTTGCATTAAAGATGCCGAACCAACACACTCAAAGCAGTAGTCTGCACTTCCATTAGTCATCTCATTGATTACCTGCTCAAGTTGATAAAAAAAACAGCTGAAGAATGGAATAAACAGCAATTCAAGTGTCCTGTTTTTTATGATGCAAAATTTGTTTTATAGGAGTGCTTTTCACCACCTAAACCTTATTTCCAGCCTCCTCACTTCAATCACACCCAATCTCTAGATTTTCATAATCTTAATACAAATATAAACTGCCCTGCCGATAAGTAACAAGTCGATAGAAGTATAAAAGCAGATCATAGATTCAGAAGAAGACCTCGCTTAACTTTTAGAATTGACAAAACCTAAGACTCCAAACGTTTTTCCTGTGTGGATAAGAAAAGAAAATATCAACCAAAAACCGTGTACCATAGTTGTATTTAATGACAGTTGATTTAGATCATAATTAAGCATGTCGTATTCATTTAAGAAAGTATTTTCAATAATCATCCAAAATATCCTCATTTCATGGAAAACCAATGGAAAAATCCATAAAAAGTTCCACTCACCAATTTCAAATTTCTCTAAACTCAAATCCATACCTATAATTCTTGTAGCACCACATAGTCTTGCTCCCTCTGGTACCTACAGATAAGAAGATATCATAAGCCTATGTTACTAGTGTCATGACGAGGAATAATATCACAAAACTAAATTTATAGAAGATCATACTGCTAATCCAATTGATCCAAGCCCAAATATGGAAACAGTTGATCCAGGCTCTACATTTGCTGCCCTCCAAGCAGCAGCAACCCCTACAGAAAGTTAACGGTCAAAGTTAGAATTCTTTGTCTTCATACACCTCCAATGCAAGCCTTCAACCAATTATTGATAATATTGCTTGAATTACAAGTTGGCTGAATGAATTTGACAGTATTTATATCACAAGAAAGGCTGATAGAAAATTTTGCCCTCAAAATGAGAGAAAGGAATTTTGGTATGTTGAACTCTCGAAAAGCTAGAAAGCAATAGCTGCTTCAACTCATTCTCTCATAGTGCATAACTTACTAACCCACTAGAAAAATAAAATGCAAAATGAAGCTCAATATTCCAGTATGCAGTTAGATGTGTATGTGTCAAAAGCAGACATATTTTTCCAACTACAGTTAAAGAACATTTCGATCTTATGAAATGCTGAGAGCTCCATAGTAATATTATTAAAATCCAATTAAGGTGGTAGAGGCAGGAAAGAACCAGGCCACCAGGGTAATCCAAATTCATTGAAACATGAGAGCATTGAAACCAACATAACAGAGATCTTACATTCACTGTCAAAACAAAACAAATGAAGCTAATCACTGAATTTAAAACATTAGGTGAGAGGGGTTTACCAGAATGTCAGCCCAAGGAGTTTATTGCTCAAAACATAAACTATATGCTGTCAAATCTAAATGACTTGTACCTGCTGATACTCCACATGGCTTGTTTGGACGGACTATGGGGTCAACTTTTACTACATTAGCAATGTCTACCACAGTATACTCACTAAAACTTGAAACAAATAACAAATGGTGCATTATTTCTCCATTGCGGTCAGTGAATCTGCTGGTCTCGTATCTAGGCATCCAGGGAGAGACCTTGAAGGGGAGTTTTGAACATAGGTTGCTCTTCTTTGATCTCCAATCTACGCATTCCCCACAATCTGGAAAGAAATATAGGATCATACAATCTCCTTCAGCTATTTTAATTTACATTCTCCCCCACACTCTCCATGATCCTGCAACATAATATTCATCAGTCACAACACTTGTCGAAGTACCTCAAAGATTTTTATGTCTAAATTAAGCAAAGTTAATGATAAGCTTCAGCCAAACTTTCAGTAAGTACAATCAGGTACTTCCTTGTTCCTCTTGTTAGAAAAAATTAACCATCACATCATCACTCCAGAATAAATGAAACTGAAAAATCTTACATTATAATTGCTCAGCAAACCCATTATGCCACATGCTTACTTCAGTCACACAACCGACCCTTGATGAAAGCCAAGGATTCTAAGCCTAGATTTGAAATTTTAGGGATCCGACGATAATTTAAACCATGTATATTTGGTATAAGAAGAAGGCATGACACTATTGAAAGAAATCAGTTAGAGATAACATTGTCTACCTGTTTCTTAACTTCTTATTTTAGACTTTTCAAGACTTGAAAATACATTAACACATAGAAATTAGGATGTCAATGAATGTGGCTGTTTATACATTCACAGAAGCAATAACATCTTCCAAACTTTGTATAAGTAAATATTATTTTTAAACTTCACATGGTGACTTGATTCTTGACTGCCTCCTTCAAGCCAATAATAAAACACTGCACAAAAAACTCATCAATCAACCCACTAATTGTGGCCATTAATGCTTTTGTAAATCTCTCACTGTTGAAATTTGTTTAAGTTTAGTTATCTGTCCCGTAGGGCTGTCGAAAGTACTAGGACCAAATCGGGAAACGATATCTAAACAAAATTGCTCCCAAAAAATTTTGCAGTGATTAACCTCATATCCTTGCCTTCCCCTCCATAGGATGGATGTCAATCAAACCTTCTCTTGTTCTTGCCCTCAATCAAATGGTTAGAGAGCCCATGTGGTTATTAAGCCACGTCTAGACCATACTTTAGCGATATAAGGGACTCAGTTAGGATTCTTACAATATTGTAACAACCATAAATAGGTAGAACTCACTCTTAAAAACCAATTATAAGAGTAATCCTAAGAAAATTCATCACACATTCTCGTTTTGAACCGTGTTACTGATGGGCTCCGCACTTTACGGCACAACTTTTTTGCCAGTGGTCTTAACTAGTTTGGTATAATGAGAAAGATATTTTTCATTATTAATCTTCTTGGTTATGACTTTAAGAAGGTTGCATCAATTAGTGCAGTTTCACAATGATATGAGCACAAATTATACCATAGAAACCAGTAATTTGAAAGAAAATTACCTGAGTGCAAAAGATAGCCATTTATTCAAACATTAACAAGTGGTTTGAAAGAAAAGTACCAAGTCCAGAAGATAGTTATTCAAACATTGATTTCACATACATTACTTATGACCGATAATTGCGCACATTCGAAATAAGAGCAGAGTGATTCAAAGAAAATAGAGGAGAAACTCGCTTATTTGTCCATCCATATCACACATCGGAGACATTTTCCTTCCATCAGTAAATCAAAGGCTTTATTGATTTCTTCAAACCCCATCTCATGCGTCACAAACTCATCCAGTTGTAGCTCCTGAAAAAAAAAAAAACACATATTACATTTGCATACTTGAACCCCATCTTAGATTTAACAAATCAAAACAAAGGAAAACTAGCATAATGGTCGTTGACATAAATTCTTTAGATTTTTTTCCTTTTCCTATGACTATTAGACCTAGTTGTTGGTAGAATAGATGTGAGCTGACAATATCTACCACCACCACCACCACCTAATTTAGTACATAAAGATTACTTGCATAAAAGGCTGCATTTTTAACCAAATTAATTATGAACTAACATGGAATACAACATAAGCTTCTCAATCAAGCTAGCCAGGCAAGAATATTATAAAACTGTTAAATTACCTTGTCCATGTAACGTTTCAACAGAATTGGAATATCGGATTTAGGTTTCACTCCTCCAAATGGTGATCCTATCAGAGTTTTTGCACTAAGAAGGAGATCCAAAGAGTTAAGGCCCAACTGTGCATCCGGCTTGTCAAATCCCAACACAATTGTCTTTCCCCAGCCCTAAAGTTAAGCCAGAAACACAACATAGATAATAACCAAACTAATGTCTTAGAAGGGTAAGCCTGGCTGTATCTCTATAACGTAAACAATCCAACATACTTCTGTTGGATGTCTTTCTCTAAATCATCTTTGTGCATGTGTGATAGTATGTGTGAGAGAGTGAGAGAAGAGGAAGACCTTTCGACAGCAAGCGTAAGCTTCATGCACCAGAGATGCAAAACCAACGCATTCAAAGCAGTAATCTGCACCTCCATCTGTCATCTCATTGATTATCTGCTCAAGTTGATATAAAGAAAGATCTAAGAGCTAGTGAAATAGAAGAAAAACTGATATATTATGCATTAGTCACGTAAGAGCAACACTTGAGGTACGAGATCAAATCACCAAAAGAATAAAAACTGTCATGGGAATGACTGCATTAACTCGTGATTAAAAGGATAAAGATGGTTTATGGACTGAGGGGAATACCTGGCTCGCTGATTTGTCCCCACAACTTTTAGAATTAATGAAATCTGTGACTCCAAACTTTTTTCCTACATGGATGAGAGAAGACAGTCAAC